GTTTTCGTAGAATGTGGTTTACTTTGTTTGCATGCCAGGCTTTGTATTGAATTCGCTGGTCGAGATCGTGATCTAGGGTTTCGTCTCTGTTCTTTTGGTTCGTTGCTTTTTTTTGTTTCTTAATTCGGTTGAAGAAAACGAAAGTCTACAGAGATAATTGATTACGGAATGCTATGGTGAGATGATTTTCCCCTCTCTGATTTTAGTCAAATTTGTTGTTTAACGATTTTGGAATTGATGTTTTGCTTTGGACTTCTCGTGAATTTTGTTGTTAACGATTTTGTTGGATCAGATCTCTAACATTGCTCGATTTTTTCTTATGAATTGGTTCGTTTTTTTTTTTTTTTGTTGTCTCTGCTTCGTAGTTTGATCTTTCTTTATGGAGCATCTCACGTTTTCTTGCTATTTTGAGATTTGAGCTCTGTTGAAAATGGCGACGAATCTTCTTCACTTGGGTCAAATGATTGTGTGTATTAGAGGAAGTTGTCGATGGTTTCTAAGTTCTGACTCGCGTTCTTCGAGGGTGTTGAAATTAGAAATGGTCACATTGTTTGACTTTGTAGGGTATTGGTCAAAGAGATAAGGCCGTACCTGGAAGTGAAAATGCTTATATACCTTTTGAAACTTCTAGGTGTTGACTGTTTCCATTTTCTGTGTTCACTTTTTATGTTTCTTAGCTTTTTGTGGAGTTATAATATTTTGGAGCTATAATGGGTTAAGTGTGAATGGTTGACCTAGTGTGTATCCATGACTCAGTATATGGTATTTGTAGTATGTTGAACTTTTAATGTGTATCTTGAGGGAATGTTTGCTGACTCTCTGGCTTTTGTCAGGCGGAAAGGAGGATTTACTTGTCTAAAGAGGCTAAGGATGGATTAGAATATCTGAAACGTAAAAGGCTTCAAAAAATGAGATCAGACTCTGTCAATGAAACAGTAGGCTTCAGCACAGTGGCTAGAAGTGGTGGTGATGCTTTGAGACCAACTTCAGCGTCATGTGGAATGAGATTAAGGGTAACTTCTAGTAATACAGTATCTAAAGTGCATGGTGCATCTACTGTGAAAGGTGGCTTGATGAAGGAAAAAGTGGAGAAGTTTGAGACAGATGATCTAAAATGGACTGAGAGGCTTCCAGAATGTCCTGTCTACAGACCAACAAAGGAGGAGTTTGAGGATCCTCTGACTTATTTGCAGAAGATTTTCCCAGAAGCTTCAAAATATGGTAAAACAAAGATCTCAATATGCAACGAGTAGCTTTTTAGTTATCATGGCTTCATATGTTAGTTGAGGCCATTGATTGGTATTGTTTAAAACATTAGCTTACTAATGTATAAAATGGAAAGAAAATGTGCTGTAGGCAATATAGTAGACTTATATCCTTTCATGGACATTTAGCTGTATTTAATCTCATTTTGTATTTCTATCCAATCTCTTATTCTGCCTCTGTCTTTTGCAGGTATTTGCAAGATTGTATCTCCGTTGACAGCAACAGTTCCTGCAGGCGCTGTGTTGATGAAAGAGAAATCAAACTTTAAGTTCACTACCAGAGTACAACCCCTTCGACTTGCTGAGTGGGATTCTGATGATAAAGTTACATTTTTCATGAGTGGGAGGTTTGTATTAAACCCTGAACTTAGCTCTACATCTTCACCTTATAGTTTGTATTTAATTATTTATAAACTACTCAGGACCTATACATTTCGGGATTATGAGAAAATGGCGAACAAGGTATTTGCACGTAGATATTGCAGTGGTGGCTCTTTGCCCGACTCATTCTTGGAGAAAGAATTCTGGAAGGAAATTGCATGTGGCAAGACTGAAACAGTTGAGTATGCGTGTGATGTAGATGGTAGCGCATTTTCATCTGCACCAGGTGACCCACTAGGAAGCAGCAAATGGAACTTGAATGTATTGTTTTACTACAACTTCAGCTTTTCTCCTTCTTTTTTTGGTTAAGCCTTAAGGAAATCATATGCTTGGTTTTTAAATTTGGTAGTTATATGTCTTCTCTATCTCTACTTACAGAAAGTTTCAAGGCTGCCAAAATCTATCCTGCGCCTTCTTGAAACATCCATTCCGGTATGTGACAAGTAGCACAGTTATAATTTGTTTAAGATCACATCAGAAGTTTCTGCTTATCCTCATATAACTTGGCTTTGCTTGTTTCAGGGAGTCACTGAACCCATGCTTTACATCGGAATGCTGTTTAGTATGTTTGCCTGGCATGTTGAGGACCATTATTTGTACAGGTAACAAGGTTAAACGAATTTTTATGAGTATATGGGTTACTAAAAGTGGCAATCTAAAGTATTTTAATCTTCCTTTTTTCCTACCTTCTTCCCAACACAGCATTAATTACCAACATTGTGGAGCATCAAAAACTTGGTATGGGATTCCAGGTTCCGCAGCTCTAAAATTTGAAAAGGTGGTTAAAGAGTGTGTGTACAATGATGATATTCTATCAACTAATGGAGAAGATGGAGCCTTTGACGTGCTTCTAGGGAAGACAACTATATTCCCCCCAAAGATTCTGTTGGATCATAATGTGCCAGTGTACAAGGCTGTGCAAAAACCTGGAGAATTCGTCGTCACATTCCCTAGGGCTTATCATGCTGGTTTCAGCCACGGTAAAACATTTTTGTCTGAATCTACATTTTTATTGGTCAGAGATGTGGTGTCGTATTCAACTGAAATTGTGGTTGTGTTGTGAAAAATTCTTGTAGGTTTTAATTGTGGTGAGGCAGTGAACTTTGCGATGGGTGACTGGTTTCCTTTTGGAGCTATTGCCAGTTGCCGGTATGCTCATCTAAACAGAATACCATTGCTTCCTCATGAAGAATTGATTTGTAAAGAAGCAATGCTCTTAAACTCAAGTTCCAAATCCGAGAATCTGGATTTTACACCTACAGAATTGTTAGGACAACGAAGCATCAAGACTGCATTTGTGCACCTGATCCGTTTTCTTCATCTTGCTCGATGGTCTCTAATGAAGTCAGGATTATGCACAGGCCTTGTTTCGAATACATATGGAACCATAGTCTGCAGTTTGTGTAAACGGGATTGCTATTTGGCATTTATCAACTGCGAGTGTTACTCACACCCTGTCTGTCTCCGTCATGGTAATTTTTTTTACTCTGTTATCTCCATCCATACACATCCTTCATTATTGTTTTCTAATTGATGGTGCTACTGTGTATCATTGTCTAGATATTAAAAAGCTTGACCTTCCATGTGGGACAACACGTACTCTTTACTTGAGAGATAACATTGAAGACTTGGAAGCTGCTGCAATGAAGTTTGAGAAAGAAGATGTAGTTTCAGATTTGATTACAACTGATGAAAATTTATATAAGTATCCATCATCAATTACACTTCCAGCTGCGAAAGAAGACGGATATTCACCGTATTCCACTATATACTTTGATTTCTATTCCGAGGTAGAGATGACATCTCATGACCAGTTGCAATCTGGAAATTCCGTCATGAGCTATGAAGCAAACGCTTCATGTATCTCCTCAGTTGCTGATGATTATGAATGCTCTGATTACGTAAGTTTTTGCCACAAACCTGCGACAAACTTTCTCTAACCGTCTCTTTCGTCTAATATCTGAGTTCTGTTTTCTTTTATAAACAGGTAAATAGACGAGCTAACTGTAGCAGCAGTAGTGATTCAAAGCTCTCAGAAGAAGTAGCATGCAGCAGTAACAAAAAAACTCGGTTCTTCCATGCGGTTCAAGATGAACAACTAGTTGTGGATCAGGAAAGTGATGGATCTGATTCTGAGTGTTTCAGAGTCAAACGCCGTTCTTCGTTGAAATTTGAGAACCGAACAGTTGTTGTCGACACAAGAGATTCTGACCATCATCAGGTACTGAAAGCGACATACTTATAAATATTAACTCTCTATTAAACAGTGTTCTTATGTTATAAAACCCTGAGATTTTCTTTGTTTATTAGGAGCTTAAAAGGCTGAAGAAATCGCATCATCACGAAGGAAGATATAGTAGTAGCAGTAGTGTTAGTAGGCAAGAAGAAGAGGAAGAAGAAGAAGTGTTAGTAATTTCAAACAGGAAAGAAACGCAGCAACAAAGTGACGTGAAGATGCAGAAGAAGAGGATTGAGAATCAGTTTGGTGGCTTTAAACGTCTGAAAGTGAAAGGGCTAATAAGGCCGTAACGTGACAGCTTCAAGTTTCCTCCTAACTACAATTCTTTTAAAATGGCTGATCTCTAACAATACAGGAAAAAAAAAAAGGGAATCAAAAGCAAAAAGAAAATATTCAGTATCTGATTTTATTATTATTGTTATTTTTTTAATCATGGGAGAAAGAAGAAGAAGAAGCAACAGACAAAAGAAGGAAAAAAAAGCATTAACCAGCTAAGCCAAGCCAACCAACCAACCAACCAACACTATTGGTTTCTTTTTTAGGATTTACCAAATCTTTGATTCTTTGTGCACATCTCTGTACACAACACACCTTTTTAAATCTCTTCTTGTTCCTTCTTCTTTTGCTCTTATGATGTAAATCTCTTTTCTATGTCAACCAAAAATAGTTTTACTTTTTTCTCCTTAAGTGGTATTTGTTGTTGTTGATGATTATGCATAGAAAACCCAATTCTCTTGATGTTAGTACACAACTTACAGATAAAGCCATTATGTTAGTACAAAACTTACAGATAGAGCCATGGGCGAAAGTCGAAACTTAAGAAAGGATTTTAGAGTTAACATGGTTTCGACCGCTTGGATTCCTCTTCATCCGATAGTGTTAACACCATTGTTTAGCAGTTCAGCTTCCATAGACACATGTATATCTCTTAAAACTTCAAAGGTTGTCGTACTACTACAAGGTAACCTTCATCCGCCTCTACCGCTCTCATGTGCTTCAACAAACAGGATTTCAGATTTCCTCCGCCGCCTTGCGTAAAGCAGTCAAGCAACATAGCTGTGTTACCCGCCGCGTAAACCCTTGGAAAGTTTCTTCCCATGCCAATAAAAGTTACCATTAGGTTGATAATTTGATTTTAGAGTCATTCATACATATAATGATTCTGATAATTGGTCCCAACATATTAAGCTACAGAGATACATCAGACAGACAGGAAGCAAAGTTCAGATGCCAACTTAAAACCAAACTAAAGTATTAAGACAACATCAATAAACACAGAGTTGTTTTACTCAGTAGTAATTTCTTCTCCAAGACACCCTCACATCCATCATCATTAGGGTTTTGAGACAACTAGAAGTAGCTCCTCTGGTTTGATGAATGTAAATTTGCAGGTATCCCCAACAACAAGGGGATACTCTTTAACCAAACGTTGCCATCCACCAGAGAAAACTCCAAACCTCCCCAAATAAACCACATCCCAACATTTCTTCCCATTGGGGTGATGGATTTTGAACATTATTTTCTCATCTGGCATATGATCCTTAGCAACAGAAGTTCGGAGCCTCTACACACTCAAAAAAAAAAACTTTTGATTCACATTATAATTTTTATAAAAACAAATCATTGCTCAATATAGAGATTTTGTTTAGAGTGTATTTATCTTACCAGGAATTTGAGATACCCTTGCTTGAATAAGCTGGTGAATTCTGTAGCAGTAGATGAAGAGGCACCTGCGTAATCTCTTCGGGCTCTAACCAATTTCTCGGTCCTTTTAGATTCTTGGGACTCCTCAGCTGCCTTCTTCCTAAGGTTGAGCTTCCTTCCATTAGATTCAGCTGCGGTTGTCCTGCCACGATTACTCAACTCAGACACCACCTCTTCCTTCTTGTCATCTTCCCCTTGTTCTGTTTTGAAACGACCTGTTTCATCATCAATAGTAAAAGAATCAATGTCTTCTTTATCATCTGTTCATTGTTTCATAATCAGAAAAGCAAATCTTACTTGAAAAAGCCAACAAGGCTCTAGATTGTGGAGGTTGCATCATCTCCTTCCCATCTAGCTTAAAGATGTTCAAAGTAAAGTGCATATTTCCTTTGTGAGTGAAGGTAATAAACTCATTGTTTCCCAAAGTGTTGTCCCTCACAAACTTGTCCCATCCAGACTTTTCCATGTAGTAAAATCTCGGGTTTTTTATTGGGGGAACCGGAGATCGACCGAGATCGACGGTTGAGATGATTGCTCAAGAATATGGAAATCATGAAGATCGAGAAGGATCTAGAAGATTATCATATCTTAGTTAGGAATATTTATATTTATCTCTAAAAGTATTATTTACATTTAAGTTTATCTTAATTTAGGAAATTAGGTTTAGTCTTTCTCTCTATATATACTGATGTATCTTGGAACATTAATCTTATGAGAGTCTATTACAATTCTTTCTAAACACTTTTGTGTTCTTCACTCTCATCAATTTATCATGGTATCAGAGCCTTGATCCTACTCCTATGGGTTAGGGTTTTGTTATCTTCCGCAAAAGAAAAAAAAAAAAAAAAAAAAAAAAAAAAAAAAAGCTTGATCGATTCCAAAATTTTGTTATTGATTTGTTGATATCACCACCACTACAACAGGTGAGATGGACGATCAATGCAATTTGGAAGAAGATGATTTTCAAAGCACGTGATCGTGTTTTTCCTTTTGTCCAAGATCGATTGAAAAAAAAAAAAAAAAAAAAAAAAGAAAAGAGAACACGTAATTGTGTTTTCTTGTGAAGGAAGAAACAGACCATTATGTGGTCTTTATGAAGATGATTCAACTATCATCACGTTCTTAATGAAAGAAGATGATGATGGCGTTTATACTAATGTGAGCCACACGGCTTTTGATGACTCCAATGGATACGATGCTGATCCGGCGGTGATGAATTTAAATCCGACACAAGTTTCTTCATGAACAAGATGTTCGAAGAGCGACCAAGACTTGTGATTTTAAATCGATGGAGATACACAACTACGAAAGATGTATTTTCCACCGTTGATGACCCCACGACCGGGTATAAACGTCGATGACCCAACGGCTGGGTTTTGTAGCCGCTTTGACCCCACGACCGGGTATAAACGTCGATGATGACCCGACGGCCGGGTATAAAGCCGCTATTTTGAAGATTTGTCCAATCTCACACGTGTTACCACGTATGAGCTTGCCGGAGGGTATTGGGGGAACCGGAGATCGACCGAGATCGACGGTTGAGATGATTGCTCAAGAATATGGAAATCATGAAGATCGAGAAGGATCTAGAAGATTATCATATCTTAGTTAGGAATATTTATATTTATCTCTAAAAGTATTATTTACATTTAAGTTTATCTTAATTTAGGAAATTAGGTTTAGTCTTTCTCTCTATATATACTGATGTATCTTGGAACATTAATCTTATGAGAGTCTATTACAATTCTTTCTAAATATTTATCATTTTTGGAGATTCCTACTTCCCAAGAGCGTCCCCATTGCGTTCTTATCTTCATCTTACCGGAGAGCTCTTTGTCGGTGAAGCTTCTCACAAAGTTATGAGGAAGTGCCCGCTTTAGTTATCCAAATAAGATGAAGAGACAGACAATAAGAATGTATCTTCAATTACACACCAACAAGACATTGAAAAAGAACATATAGATCCTCACATTTAGACAGAGAACCGAGAGATTCAACAATCGTTAAAGATTAAAAAAAATGCAGTGAGGTTTTCGAGACCCATAAAGACAATTGACCAAAAGATTCAACCTTTAAAACACAGCTCCCATTCAGATTTCAGACAGAGAAGCAACAAAATTAGTGAGTTCGTTACAGAGAGCAAAATTAACCTTTCCAAACTAAGTTAACAAGATTCAACCTTTAAGCAAGACCCATTGTCACGTATAACGAAAAGTTTCAACTTTCAACCTTTCCAAACTAAGCAAGCAAGATTCAACCTTTAAGGCAAGACCCATTGTCACATAACGAAAAGTTTCAACCTTTCCAAACTAAGCAAGGAAGATTCAACCTTTAAGACAAGACCCATTGTTACAGAGAACAAAAAGTTTCAAACTTTCCAAATTATTACAAGAAATCGCCTAAATATTTTTTAAAAAACAAGAATTGTTACCAAGTTTTCTGAAGAAACATTAACACTCTGAAGCACCTTGAAGAAGCTTTCGTTATTCCTTTCTTCTTTGCACCGAAGAAAATCAGGGTTCGTAGCCATCTCTTTTTCTCTCGTCTCTCTCACACTCTCTCTTCTTCTCTACCTATCCCTCTCTCTTGTAATGAGAAGATACGTTGACACTTGACATGAATTATGTACCAATCTCTCTATACTTCATATTTTCAAACAAATGATACAGTCAAAGTAGTCAAAGTTATAAACTTTTCCTCTCAGAACTTTGACAGTACAAACGTGAGATCAGCATATAATGGTTTCCATTGGTAACCATAATTTAGGAAAAGAATGAGAAGGAATGTGATATTCCTCTTTGTTCCTCAATATTTTTACCATTTACATAATATTTTTTCCACACCATTCCTCTACATTCCTCACCAAAAGAGGAACACTAGAACAAAAATGTTTCTCTCCAAAATTGATGAGGAACAAATGGAACAAAAAAGGATCAAATATTAAAATTCGTTTTTATTTTTTAAAAAAAAAAAAAATAATGTTTATCAATAATATTTGTATTTTATTATATAATAATTTTCATATCTTCACAATATATTAACAGAAAAAATATTTTTGATAAGAATTTCATGTTGAATTACTCTTAAGACTTCGCTTGAAAAATATATAAATAGTAAAATAAATTTAAAAATGTTTATATTGTAAAAGAATAATATATTTTAAATTACTCTTTCAATTTTATTTTATGTTAATATTAAATATTATTATTTAAAATGATATATATATATATATATATATATATATTTAGTTCACAAATTTTAGGTTCAAATATAAATTTTCAAATTAAATAAATATAAAAAATATTTAGTATTTTTCATTGAAATTTGATTTATTTACTATTTAATATATCTTTAAAGATATTTTTAATGTTTGGTTACCATTCATCATAATAGTACATTTTATGCATTCTCTGCATCTTTTCCTTTTCGTTCTTCAAAAATTGTTTGTTCCATTCCGCATTGTTCTTTTTATTCATTTTCTTTTTGTTCTTTTAATGGTTACCAGTCGGAGCCAATATGTTTTAGTTACAACCTAGGGCTGAAACTATTGGGCCTATAACTAAAAGCCCAATGCGTCATTTACTCACAACTAAAGCCCACCAAAACGCAAAAATATCACAAAGGTTTGATTTGGGGTTTAACGAGGGTTACTACTACCAGTTTCCACCATTTTCTCTGAAGAAGACGACGAAGACGAAGCTTCCATCTTCCGATTAATCCATCACCAAAATGCGTAGAAGCTTCTCTGCTTTGGGTTCTCACAAATGGCTCAAACCTTCTTCTTCGTATACAAACGTATACTGCTTCATCACAAATCCTCCTCTCATTTCTAACCCTAACAACGGCTCTGCTATTTTCCGATATCTCTCATACTTCGCACCTCAACGACGACAACAACCAGATCCAGATGATCCAGCGAATCTATTGAAAGAAGATGGAGTTTCTCTTTGTTCTCAGATGTGGCTTGAGAATTTCAAAGAACCTGACAAAACGGCGACGAATTTGACCTCCTATCTTCGAAGATTCGAGTTATGGGTATTAGCTTATCAGAAAGTTTGTTGTGATGAATTAGGTGCTTATGTTCCTCGTAGCTCTATTCAGAGATCAGCTTTAGAGAATTTGTTAGCTTTGAGGAATTCTGTTCTTGATGATCGGTTTAAATGGGGTTCTCGTTTGGATTTCTATATCAAATCTCCTAGGGATAAGACTGATTACGAGTCGTTGTCGAAGCGGAAGATTAAAGCGATTTTGACTACTACGCAACCGACTGCGTTTCAGGATCGGATAGTTCAGGAGGTTCTGTTGATGATTTTGGAACCGATTTATGAATCTCGGTTTTCGCAGAAGTCGTTTGCGTTTAGGCCCGGGAGAACTGCGCATACGGTTTTGAGAGTGATTAGGAGGAATTTCGCGGGTTATTTGTGGTATGTTAAGGGTGATTTGAGTGTTGTTTTGGATGGAATGAAAGTTGGGTTTGTGATTAGTTCTTTGATGAGAGATGTTAGAGATAAGAAAGTGATTGATTTGATCAAATCTGCATTGGTTACGCCTGTTGTAACGAGTAAAGTGGAAGATGGTGAGAAGAAGAAGACCAAGAAGAGAAAGTATCAGAAAAAACGGGTTTTGGCTGACGATGAGCCCAAGCCTGATCCTTATTGGTTAGAGACCTTCTTTGGTTTTGCTCCTGAAGAAGCTGGAAAGTCTCCGCAGTGGGGACATTGCGGGATTCTTAGTCCTCTTTTGGTTAATGTATGTCTAGATGAGCTTGATCGTTGGATGGAAACGAAAGTGAAAGACTTTTACCGTCCTTCTAAAAGCGATGTTATATGGAATAACCCGGAAGGAGAAGCAGATCAAGGAAACACTTCCTGGCCGGAATTTGTTCCCACGAGCGGTCCTGACAAAACGAGGAAAATGGATTATGTTAGATACGGAGGTCATATCTTGATCGGTGTCCGTGGACCTCGAGCTGATGCTGCAACATTAAGGAAAGAGCTTATTGAGTTTGTTGATCAGAAGTATATGCTTAGACTCGACAATGAGAATCTACCCATTGAACATATAACAAAAGGTATAATGTTTCTTGATCATGTTTTGTGTCGCCGAGTTGTTTATCCGACTCTGAGGTATACTGCGACCGGCGGGAAGATTATAAGCGAAAAAGGCGTGGGAACACTTTTATCCGTTACAGCGAGTTTGAAACAATGCATCAAACAGTTTCGCAAGCTGAATTTTATAAAAGGAGATCGGGATCCGGATCCACAACCTTGTTTTAGAATGTTCCACGCAACTCAAGCTCATACGAATAATCAGATGAATAAGTTTTTGACTACGGTTGCTGAGTGGTATCGGTTCGCAGATAACCGGAAGAAAATTGTGAATTTTTGCTCTTATATTATCCGTGGTTCACTTGCTAAGCTTTATGCTGCAAAGTATAAACTTAGATCAAGAGCAAAAGTGTATAAGTTCGCTAATCGGAATCTGAGCCTTCCGTTGTTGCAGAAGAAAGGTAAGTCACCAGAATATCAGAATCTCTTGAGAATGGGTCTTGCTGAATCGGTTGATGGACTTGTTTATACAAGAATGTCTCTAGTTCCAGAAACTGATTACTCGCCTTTTCCGGGTAATTGGAGGCCCGAGCACGAGAAGTTTTTGATCGAGTACTTAACTCTCGATGAACCAAAAACCTTAGAAGAGCAAAAGAGATTTATTAGAGAGAAAGGACTCGTTTCGCCTCAGGATTACACATCAATGTTGGTTTGGAACTATAAGAGAAATGCTATTCCGATGGATCAGGTTTCAATTCTAAAGGATCAACCTTTCTTGTTGGGATCATCAAGTAACTACAACCGCGACAATGATGATCAGAAGAATAAAGAAGAAGATGAAGATAGCGAAGATGGGCTTCGCATTGCACGCATGTAAGAAACCAGAAACTGTTTGACTTTTACTCTTATATGACGCTTGTATGATTTGATGCCATATGAGCCATGTCCTATCCGGTTTGTCTCGGTTATTGAATGCAAAACACCGAATTTATTAGCATTGGTATTTTCAGAAAGAGTTCAGTTATCTAAACCTTCTGTGATCTTTATGCAGATAACTCTTTATTCAAGACTTTGAAAAAGCTACGACCATTGCTTCTTACAGTGAATAAGCCGATTACTCTGAGGTACATTATCACTATTGTTACCTAACACTTTTGGTTATTTCATATCTAACATATTTGTAAAAGCTATAGGAATCAGAACCATGTGAAACAAGACATCGTTCTCTTTCGTAAAAGGGGATTTCACAGCCTTTTTTCTTTTTGTGAATCTAGTTTCGCAAGTGCCTGGTGCATCCATTGCAGCACTCATAAGCATGGTAGCGGTTTTGTAATCACGCGACTTAACGGTGTCTAAAGATTGGTTTAAGGAATCAATAGCTTCGGTATAAAGCTCGAGGCAATCGCGTAACGGCCTCTCCACTTCATATTTATCGTCCTTGAGAATCTTGTCAACCATTCCTTTCAAGCTCGTCGTTTTCGAAACAGCGTTCTTGGTCGATGCGAAGACCAATCCTTCGAGACTTTTTGCGGTTTTGCTCTGCGGATTCTCTTCAAGAGACTTGACGCAGAAATCGTATTTGAGTTTCGGGTCTTTAGCTGTAGCTTTCTTGCAAGAATCTCGAATCAGAGATTGTGCGGTTGCAAAACAGTTTAAGAGGAGAAAGAACATAACAAGGTAAAGCAAGAATTTCATTTTCTTTTTTTCTTTGAGGAAGCAGAAACAAAGATTATTGAGAATCGATAGATAAACAATTTTGAAACTTTGTGATCAAATTTATGATAAAATGAAACAAATAATACAAATGGCTTTTTTTAGAGTGCTCATGTCACGCTTTACCACTCCGCTTTACTTCATGTGTCCTGATTATTCGTTTTGACACTCTTTCTTATACGTTGTCGTTTTTGTTTGCTTTTTTGATCCCAAACAAATAAATTTTGTCAGTGTTGAAAGAAATGGATCAATGTCTAGTAAATAAAAAATATATGCATTGATCAAAATTGTCAAAGAAATGGATCAATGTCTAGTAAATGGTTTTGTAGATTAACTCTTAAATCTTTTTCCTCATTGTGTCCTCTCTCACATGATACTGAAAAAGTCACTAGATCTTTCATCCTACAATTGTTTCACCTCAATCGCGTTCAACTTTGGAGTTCTCTCACAATGAATTACATAAAAGATACATGGTCATAATATACGTAGTCAAATCAAAAATTTTAGTTTTTCTTCATGCACCACCATCTTTTTAGAAATCGAGATATTGCAATGTTCTTCTTTCTTGAACGTATGATAGACGTACGGCCACCACATGAACGGGTCCTAAGGTTGACCTTATCTTCATTCTCTACTATTGGCCTCTTTGAGTTATCCCATGACCATGAGTGGTGACTGGATAAATACTAATTAGGTTTAAGAGATTATGTATGTAGTTGGTAAGTGGTAACACATAATGTACGTATACAATATTGATGGATGTCCAAAAATGTAAGTGTATGTGAAAAAAATTTCATTGGTGTATCTAAAGTTTCTGTGATCTTTATTCAAAATTTGAAAAGGCTACGACCATTGCTTCTAGTGAGCAAGAAAATTACTCTAAGGTACATTATCAGTATTATTATCTTTAATCCAATGTGTTAATACACTTTATAGTAATTTCATTTCAACATATTTGTAAAAGCTAAAGGAATCAGAATCATCTGATACAAATTATCATTCTGTTTCGTAACCGGAGATGGCGCTTTTCTTTCTTTGAATCCAGTTTCACAAGTACTTGGTGCATCCATTGCAGCGCTCAGAACCGTTTTAACGGTTGGGTAATTACGCGATTTAACGCCCGCTGAAGCTTCGTTTAAAGAACCAATAGCATCGGTATAAAGCTGGAGGCAATCACGTAACGGCATCTCACTCATCTTGTTAAATTTCTTCCCCTTGAGAATCTTGTCAACGGTTCCTTTCAAGCTAGTCGCTTTAGTCACGGCGTTTTTCGTCGATGCCATGACTAATCCGGCGAGATCTTTTGCGGCTTTGCTCTGCGGATTTGTTTCGAGAGACGTGACGCATAGATTGTATTTGAACTTCGGGTTTGTAGCTGCAGCTTTTTTGCAAGAATTTCGAATTAGAGTTTGAGCGGTTGCGAAACCGTTTAAGAGAACAAAGAACGTAACAAGGTAAAGCAAAAATTTCATTTTTCTTTTTCTTTAAGGAAGCAGAAGAAACAAAGAGTTAATGAGAATCGATTGATGAAGAAAAGTTTAATTATCAACTTGGTGATCAAATTTTATAATAAAATGAAACAATAATTTTAACGGTTTATGATTTGATAACTAACAAAACGGCTTTTTTGGAAGGCTGATGTGACGCTTTACCACTCCGCTCACGTCGAGTGGCCCTAATTGTTCGTTTTAACACTCTTTCTTATACGCTGTCGTTTTTTGGCTTTGTTTTACTTTTCTTTTTCAAACAAAAGTGTCAAACGAAATAGAGTTTGAAACGTTTTGTTTTTGGGTTAGACCAGGAATTATTTTGTCGTGGATTAGAACGTTTTGTTATTGGGTAATATAATGTATCGAAAGAAAAAAATCATAAAAATGATTCGTAGCAATATTTATTTTCCGCATTATTGCATATCAAAATTTATGATGATGAATAAAGAGTGGGTTTGTCCGCTAGCTGATTAGTCCATGCCAATATTTGCAAGTTGCAACCATTCAAAACTACAGATTCAGACTTATTTTTGTTTAATTAATTTTTAAACAAACTTTTAATTACTGAATTTCAACCAATTTTTCTATACTGTAGGTAACAAAAACCACGTATTTGCTAATTTAATAAATTAATAGCTTTTTAAGGTTTCTAAATATTATATGTACAAAATAAAAATAAAAAGATTGTGCCATGACTTTTTATTTAGGGACTAGATTGTCCGAATTTCCCATGTGTATAGAGAGGTTAACCGTCTTGATGACAGGTTAACTAACTATGCGTTTTCTTTACCACTAGGTTTTCATTTTTTAGAGACTGTCCCACCTTCTGTGGTGACGATCGTAGAGGATGATGTCCGAGGAACTGCGTTTCTAAGGCATGTCGAAATTTGATTGTATTTTTTGAGTTTTATTAATAAAGTACGGGGAGACATTATCTCCTTTTGACGCACCAAAAAAAAAAAAAAAAAAAAAAAAAAGAGATCATATATGTAAAGGGAAATTTTATTTCCATCAATTAAGATAAAGTTTCTTTGCCCTCAACTTTCTATAGTAAACAGTAATCGATGTTTTATGAAACACTTTGAAAATTTATCACAACATATTAGTAAAAGCCAAAGGAATCAAAACCTTCTTATACAAAATATCATTCTCGGTAGTAATCGGAGACTTCTTTTTGTCTTCCTTGAATGCATCCTCGCAATTGCCCGATACATCCAAAGCGGCACTCAGATTAATGTTAGCGCCTTCAAAATCATGCGATTTAACGTTCGCTAAAGCAGTTTTTAAATCATCATTAGCATCGTCATAAAACCCGAGGCATAAGCGTAACACTCCCACAATATCAGCATATCTCTTGTCCTTGATATCTTGTTGAACGACTCCTTTCATGTTCGTGAATTTTGCCATAGCGTTGTTGGTCGATGCTAGGACCAGACCTTCGAGAGTAGTCGCGGCTTTGCTTTGTGGATCTTCTGTAAGAGACTTGACGCAGAACTCGTATGTCAACTGTGGGTCTTTCGCGAAAGCTTTCTTGCAAGAATCTTGAATAAGAGTTTGAGAGGTTGCGAAACCATTCAAGAAAATAGAGAAGATAACCAAAGAAACCAAGAACTTCATTTTTTTTTTTACTTGGTGAAGAAGAAGCAGAGAAAGATAGAATTGATTGATGAAGAATCTTGTCACACTTTGTGTTTCAATAAATAGTAAAAAAGAACAAAAAATTTTATGGTATGACTCTTATCTAACGTAACGGCTTTGCCATAATTACTGTATAATTGTTGAAAATTAAATTTGGAAAAGTTCCCAATTTGAAAAATGGATATTATTCCATATTGAGAAATATTCTACATTTAATTAATAATGGTAAGATATTCACTTTTAATGTTTATTTCCTAAATTCATAATTTATTTGTTTGATAGTCAACATGCAATATTTGATTTCCATATACGCACGTTCAACTTAGTCAACTTGTTTTAAGGTGTTTCCATTTTCTAAAAATCATGCATATACTATCAAAAATGATAACTCTTCTACCATTATACCATTTTCATCAACAATTTAATACAAAATCATAGATATTATCTTTTAAAATTTTTTTATCAAATAAAGATTTTGTGTGAAAGGGTTAATTAACATTTATTTCTTAGATTCTGGATTTATTTGCTTTCCATATAATCACGATAAATTTAGTCAACGAGATTGAGTGTTTCCAAATCATATATAACATAAACAAATGAAAATTCTTCGCTTCCATTATGCCATTGTCATCAACATTTTAATAACAGAATCAAATATATTATTTTTATAATACATTTTAGTTTATTTTTAGATTATGGATTCATTTGTTTTGATATTGGTCAACATGCAATATTTTTCAGCTTTAGGAGGGGTTATTGGTTCATAGATTTATAAAGAATTAGAAATCCAAACAAAAATCATTTGTTATTCAATCATTGATTTTAAAATTTAAATTAAAATCATGTGTTATTGGTTCTATGATTTATAAATACTAGTTAAAATCCTATGTTATTCGTTTAGTTATTTTTTTTTGGATTTGAGAATCCAAATTATGTTTTTAATGGATTTGAATGGAATTGAAAGAGAAAAATAGAAAGATTCAAATCCATGGGTAAAAACATGTTATTTCAAAATCCATATATCTTGATTTCATAATTAATAGAAATTTTCAAATTCTATATGGATTTACAAATTAATAAACCAATAACACCCCCTTAGATTATGGATTTATCCTTAGATCTCACCTTTGAACCAACATCAAAGTTTTTTTTTGCTGTTGTTTCTGGATTTGGTGTAAAGATTTAAAGGTTGATAAAACTTATCATTACAAAAAATCATATCAGTAAAAAAAGTTACATTTCTTATCTAGTTTTATCATTTTTATGAAACTTATTATAGTATTTTTTTTTTTTGGTTTTGTAATGCGGAAGGATTGATACGTAGTGAGTAATTTAGTCCATCTCATTTATATACTACGTTAAATTAATGTTCTCATTTGAGACGTAGGATTCCTAACAATACACTTGCATATGTAGTTTCATTTCAACATATTTGTAAAAGCTAAAGGAATCAAAATCATCTGAAACAAATCATCGTTATCTTTTGTAAATGGAGATTTGAGAGGTTCTTTTCCTTCTTTGAATCCAATTTCGCAACTAGGTGGTGCACCCACTGCGGCACTTATAACCACGTTAGCGGATTTATAATCACGCGATTTAATGATCGTTATAGCTTCGGTTAAGGAATTTGTAGCATCCGAATAAAGCTCGAGGCAATCGCGTAATGGTTTCTCACTGTACTTTTCATATCTATTCTCTTTGAGAATCTTGTCCACAATTCCTTTCATGCTTGTTGTTTTTGACACTGCGTTTTTCGTGGATGACATGACCAACCTGTCAAGACTACGTGCAGTTTTGCTCAGCCGATTCTCTTCGAGAGACTTGACGCAGAAATTGTAATGAATCTTTAGGTTTTGATCTGCAGCTTTCTTGCAAGAATCTCGGATCAAAGATTGTGCAATTGCGGAAGCGTTTAAGAGGAGAAAGAACATAACAAGGTAGAGCAAGAACGTCATTATGAAAAAAATCTTTGGAGAAGTATAGAAAAATTGATAAAGAATTTTAACTTTGTAACCCAATTTATAGTAAATAAAAAGTAATAATTCTAACGGTTTTTTTTACCAAATAAGACTTGGTATCTAACACAACGGCTTGTTTTTAGAGTGCTCATGTCACGCTTTACCACTCCACTTACTTCGTATGACCTAATTGTTTTTTTTTTTTTTTGGTAAAATGTGAAGTATTTATACCATTTTCAAAGTTTCGACAGAAATTACATAGAAGACAAGAAGCGGAGAAGAAAACCAAAATCTACAGAAAAAACATACATAACAAAACAGCAAAGGAGGAGTCCGAAAGTCCAAAGCGGAAACGAAAGAAGGAACACCGATTCCGAGAAGCCAATCTCAGAAATTTGCGTGATTTCCACAACTCCAAAGAGCTGGAGTCCCATCCTAGTTGCCACGAGCAAACTCTAATAGAGGCCAGTCCTCAAAACCTATGGATAGAGCGCCTACAGCTTCTCCGCAAAGTAACGCAAAAACGCGATGACCTAATTGTTCGTTTTAACTTTTAACACTCTTTACTTATACGTTGTCGCTTTTTGGCCTCTGTTTCTTTTTTCAATGTTAAAACATACGTGATGTCAAAAAAAAAAAAGCATTATGCAACATGTTTTCCCTCATGTCAATTTATAATAATTTTCAGAACAACGGGAATAAGTCTTTCATGATACAAAACATGAGCTTCTTAATATGAATCTCCAAAAGAAACCAAATAATCACTGAAAACAAAAGAGATACATGTACTTCAACAAATTATGAGGAAAATTAATTTTGCTTACATGTTTATGGTCTTAATGACTTTTCTAGAAACCGCGATTCTTCCTTTACTATATAAGCCGTGTTCTTTTCTTAGTCGCTGAACTAGCGACAGCGACAAAAAATAAAATAAAAGGCCCAAATGCTTTACTTAAAGAATAGGCCATGTAGAGAAAACCAGCGACAACTTTAGTTTTATAAAAAACAAAAACGATCGGAGATGGAGTCGCTGAAAAAACCAGCGTTCACGGGCGACACCAAATTTTCCAAAATTAATGTTGTAGCCTTTTCTAATCTGTCGCTGGGTTAGTTTTAGCGACACTTAATTACAGAAATTCAGTGTTTTTTCCGGTCGCTAACTCTGGTCGCTGCGATCGAGAAAAGAACAGGGCTATAATTGCTTCATTATTATTCTGGTCCTAATTTGGTGTTCTAGTAATGTTTTCGTTGTTTGGAATTTTTCTGAATGATATATCAAGGCTTATTCGTATTGCTCTCGTTTTTAACACTGGTAAGGTATATTGTCACGTATGCAACGAATGAGAAGTAATTAAGGATGATAATGATATGTATGTTTTCATTGGTTTCTATATTTTTTTCATTGGTTCACAACTTGACGTAGATGGCCTCAGAAGAGAGACGAAACTCAAGATTTATATAGTAAATAGAACAGATTGGGCAAAATTAGGGATGGGTTAGAAATAGACCTTTGCTACGTTAATAACAAAACACAAGAAATAGACACATCCAAATATATTGGACTACTAGTTCTGTGCAGCACTATATTCATTGAACGTTACAGTGTAACCAATTGCTCTGCTACACCCTATCCGTTAATATGAGCATTGAAACAAAAATAATAAGGAATGTTGATCATGTCGAAGAGAACATCGTTCTCTTTCTTCACCGGAGATATTTGGTGATTGTCATCGTTGAATTTCATTTCACAAGCTCTTGGTTTACCTTTTGCCATATTTCCTATAAATTTCTCGTAATCCCGTGTTTTGAGGTATTTCATAGCTGAGATTAACAACTCATAGCCCTCAGAATAAAGCTTGAGGCACTCCCGTAAGAACGTATGACTCAACTTATTCTTATACTTTTTCTCGTTTAAAATATTCTCTACAATTCCTTTCACTTTTGTTAGGTTTGATATCGCGCTATTCGTACATACCACCGTCAATTCATCTATATATATTTCTTACTTTTTGGCTCTCTGGATTCTCTTTGATAGATGTAATACAAAATTTGTAGATGTATGGTTCTGCATATCTTGAATATTTTCCTTGCAAGATTTTTGAATAAGAGAATCGACCACTCTATTGGCCATGAAACCATTGAGGAGGAGAAAGAATCCAACAAGGCGAATGAAGAACACCATTGTTTTATTTTTGTTGGGAAAGCACAACACTGAATAGAATAGATTAAAGAACATTTAGTAACTTGTGATCTAATTTATAAGCAAACAAAAATCTTATAACATGAGACTGCTATTCAAAGACATGCTTTTTTTAGATGACTCATGTCATGCGTTACCACTCCGCTTACTTCGTTAAGTTTGGTACTTCATTGCATTTTTTTTTTGTCAACTTTCGTTCTTTATTTTCTGTTAACAATGCTTGCGGGTTTCTTTTGAAGTTCTAGAGGGTCGCCACAAGGTTGTTTTCTATCACAATCTATCTTTGTTTTTGGCAAAAATTTCCTCTCTAGTCTCATGAATATGTATAAGTCATCAGCTGAGTGTAGCCGTGTAGGGTTGGGTACTTTACTTATCTAGATCATGGCATCATCCGCGGAAAGGTTAAAGAGTGAGATTCACCTCTAGAACTTTAAAAATACATACGTTAGGAAAGTACTATATCTAAATAAAATAATTAAGTTATAAAATGAAAAGGTAGAAAAACTAAATTACTTTAGGAAAGAATTATATATAAACAAAAAAAAATCGTCAAATGTGAAAATTAAACATACTAGAACTTCTACATATTGATACTATAACATTAAAGGTAGAGAGCAAAAAATAAAAATGCAATCTGAATATGAGACCTGATTTAAATAATTTCACTTTTCTTAAAGAAAAGAAAAAAGAGAAACGTAGAAAAGGTGAAAATAAGAGACAAACGTAGCTGAATTCACTTCTCTTTTCTTCTCTTCTGAATTATTCTTAAGGAGTACTATACACAGACATATATATGTACACAAATTTTAAGAAATTGAGAAGTGTGGTAAGAACAAAACTTTCTTAAAATATGTGTTTTTAATTGTAGCTTATTGTTAAAGAAATTTAGAAAAGGTGAAAATAAGAGACAAGATTTGAAATGGTGCAACTTAGATTTATTCTTATCTCCATGGAAGTTGTAAACCCTGACCTTATATTTTTCATTAATTCAATATTTCATAACAAAACAAGAAACATTGCCACCTATAACTGACGGACTGTTTGGCTAGACACTAATTGTCCGGATTTACATGAGCATAGTAATTAAAAGACTGAGCAATGTCCACGGTGTCGAAGAGAACATCGTTCTCTTTCGTCACCGGAGATTTCTGTTTATTATCATCATTGAATCCCATTTCACACTCTCTAGGAACAACTCTTGCATGACGAATAGTATTGTGGAGTTTATCGAAATCCCGCAATTTAATGTACCCTAAACATTTGGTTAACAAGTTAGTGCCCTCAGAATAAAGCTTAACGCAAACACGCAACATCTTCTCACTCAGTTTACTCGTATACTTTCTTTCCTTCAACATCTTCTCTACAATTCCTTTCACGTTCGTCATGTTAGAAATAGCGTTTTTCACGCCTACTCCGATCAATTCATCGATATTTTTTACTTGTTGACTCTCCGGGTTTTCGCTAATAGATGCAATGCAGAACTTGAAGTAATGTGGTTCTGAATTTTTTGAAGCTTTCTTGCAAGAATCTCGAATCAGGGAATTTGCAACTCTGTTGGCTGTGAAACCATTTAAGAGGAGAAAGAACACAACAAGGTAAAACAAGAACTTCATTTGTTTGTTTGTTTGGGTAGCAGAACACTAGAGAGAATAGATTAAAGAACTATAGTTAACTTGTGATCCAATTTATAAGCAACCAAAATTATCCACCATAAAAGTGTTATTGAAACACATGCTATTCTTAGATGGCTCATGTCACGCGTCGCCACTCCCCTTAAACATATATAAGGCTATAATTAACGAAAACTGCGGTACACCGAAAGCTAACCTCAAAAACATCACAACAACAACAACAGCTCAAGTTGAAATGTTGTGATGATTAAAATTGCGACTCAAACCAGAAATTAGCATAATATTAAAATATTTAGGCATGTATTTTAGGCGTAATTAATTAGTTGTGGTTTTACTGTAAAATAATTGGAATAAATAAAATATATAACTAAATTTATCATTTACAATGGAGATCGATCATGCAATACAAATTTTATACATTCCTCTACAAAAAAAAACGAACTAATCTCAAAGAAGAATATTAATTTCACTAGTATATGTATTGCAGTGGAAATGAATGAAATTAATGACAATATTCCTCTAATTTCATATATTCCATTATTCAATAATTTTTATCCCATTTATATCTCTTTCATTTACTGTTTGGAGACTTAATTTACAAAATTTAATAGAATTATTATTCTGTGATTTGTGTCATTTAACTGGAAACAAATGAATTCATTGTTGTGTAACATTATCAAATATCAATTATAAAATATATGTTAACTACAATTTTCTTGGCAACATAATCAAATATCAATCAACTATAAAAATGTATGTTAACTACAACTGTTCGATATATAATATTTTTTTTTATCTATATACTTTCAATACAACAGTTTGCATTTTCATAGAAAAATTAAACATCCCATCTTGAATTGTTACACGATCTTGCTTATAATACGTATAGTTATTAAACATATATACCAACCAAACCTTTCTTCTCCTCAATTCCTCCGGAAATAAAAAACAGAAATAATATTATATTTATATGGTTTTGGGTTTTCTTTTTCTTCTTAAACGTTGAGATTATTGAAGTGGTCGCACCTACGTCTCACTTCTCCTTCTTTATCACCCTTGACGCCGACCGTGCCAAGTTTCTCCATCGCACGAGCGAAATCCTCAAAGAATGCTGTCTCGTTAGTTGCGTATAGATCCACAAACGGCTTGGTGCTGTTATCTTTAATAAGGATGTGGTCGGAAGCTAAAAGCCCTAGCCCTCGCTTTAGGTTCTTGAAGTACATGTTGTCGAATTTTCCCGGAGTCATCACGTCGTTAAACGCCGCGATTGTGTCATCCACGGTGTGGTTTTTGCAGAGATCTTTGAGAGCTGCTGCGAATCGTGGGTTGATTTCTTTATCAGCTTTGGATCCGTAAAGCCTGTCGGCAAACTCTTTGCAGTGAGAGAATCCAATGGTGTGAGCCCCGCTTAATGCTACCATCTCGCGAAGAGTAAACCCGTTTTTCTTGAATATCCCGTGGATGTCGGGAACGGTCTGGTTTGCCATTGGGACGTTTCCTCGGACTTTATGGGCTTTGGATTCGAATCCGTCTTTACGACCAAGCTTTACCTCGAAGTAAGGTCCTCCTACCATTGTGACAAGGTCACGTGTAGCCTGCGCTAGGATATCTGCGCAAGACACTACACCAGGACAAGACAGCTCGAGAGCTGTCTTGATGCGGGTGACAATGTCAAAAGCATCTCCCGGGAGGGAATCGTTAAGATCATCATCACGTTCTGCTTTGTTAAACGAGTTGGTCGCGATCAAGACGGATGCATCACAACCTTCAAGGAAACAATCGTGGAAAAAGAGACGGAGTGTCCCGGCCGCAGTTGTTGGTTGTTGAACTTGTTTGGTTGTAACGGCTTCACGCACGATTTTGTGGAAATCGGGGCATGTTTTTCGGTAATAGTCCGTTCTCAAGATAGCGACATCAGCCGATATAGTTGGTACAACCACGGCGAGACAGAAGAGGAGAACAAAGGGATTAAAACCACGAGAGAATTGCATATTCGACATCAGATAATAACAAACAATGGTAATTGAATTGGATTTGAGAGAGAGGTCTACGAGGTAGACTTCTCCACGATCGATTGTCGTCGAAAGCAATTAGAAACAAAGAGGAAGAAAAAGGCTTTGGCGACTATTTCATGGCTTAGGAGGTTACTAAGAAGAGGCTACGTAAAGGATGGTTTTCATTTCCTTATATGTACGTGTGGTTGTTTTTCGTTTATTCTTTTCTATTTTTGTAATCTATCTATTTTTTTGTATGGTTTTGGTTGCTTTGAATTTGTTTCTTAATTTTTTTTTGGTATTTTATATAAATATACTGGCGCAAAATAAGGAATAAAGGAAAATTTGGTTATTCGCTATAATATACAGATTCTGAACTTCGAATTTGTTAACTTGGTTCTAGAAAATTTCTATGTTGGACAAATGTGGTAATATGCATGATAATTGATTAATAGCATGTAATGATGTATACACTAATACACACGTGATATTGATGAACTAGACTCAAATTGAGATGGGTTTTTGTTTCAATCTCAAGCACAAAAAGCTCTGCTAAAACTTGAGTTATTGTTTCAATCTCAAGCACACAAAGCTCTGCTAAAACTTGAAAATACCTTCTCATGTGAAGAAAATCACGCAAGATCATGGATCGATTCAATATTATTAGTGATCTTGTTGATTTTGATATTTTTGACACATTCACATCAATCTCAATTTTGTTCTTACATAACGAGTCAATAGAGTAGCTTTGGTGACATTACCAACAAGGGGCGGACCCAGCAAAAAGAGTTTGTGGGGGCAAAAATTGGTTTGGTGAAGGAATCGAACATCTTCCCTCAAATATTAATCAAAAGCAATTAAACAATTTTGCAACATTATTACTTAATTCATTAAGTTAAAATTTTAGTTATTTATATTTGCATCTTTGTCAAATGACTTACAAATGAAATTTGGTTATTAACATGATCACGTGTAAGTCAATGAATCAGACTTTTTAACAAGTGTAAAAAAAACTTGTTCCTAACTAACAAAAAAATAAAGGTACAACAATATGATTAAAAAAAATCTAATTAAAATTAAAATAGTATAATCAATTGATTAAAGTTTTAGAAAAATAGATTGATGAAATAAGAAAAGTATGTAAGAAAATATAGTAATTAAAAGGTAAGGGCCCAACATCATGTGCGAAAAAAGCCCATAATACATAGAGCATGGCGCGTGTAAATAACGCACATCTTATGTAGTTTTCTTCCTTTCTTTCTCACGCGTCCCTCTTTCTTCTTCATTGACACGCACATTCGTTTTCAATTCTCTTCTAATGTTTCACTAGCGCATAACCCTAACCCTAACTCTCTCGTACTGCAGAAAACAAAAAGACACAAAAAGACAATTGACGAAGAAGAGACGAGTCAAAAAGCGATACGATCGTAACCAGGGAGCTTGATTTCTCCCCTGATTTTTCCTAATGGATTCTCAACAGAGCGATCTCTTTGACACCGCATCGCAGCCGGACGCGGTGGCTGACGCGTATACCTTTTTGGAATTCAATACTCAAGGCGATTCAGAGTTTGATTACCCGGAGTTTCGATCACCGACGGCATGGCCGACACCGTCTGATTCCATTTCCATCGCTGACGTTTCCGATCGTGGTGGAGGAGGAGCTGCCGCGGATCATCATTCTGAGGCTTCGTCACCTTCTTCCATCTCTGCCGGTGCCGGGAATGGTGCCAAAGTGGGACGCGGTGGAGTTGGTGGAAGTGGTGGTGTTAGTAGTAGTAGTCAGGTTGATGCATTGGCCGCTGGTATGGGAAATTTGAACTTTGAGGAGACTGGTGATGATGATGGTTTTGATTATGGTAAGAATGATTTCACGGAGCACGCTTGTAAGTATTGTGGTATCTCGAACCCAGCTTGCGTTGTTAGGTGTAATGTGGCTTCTTGTAGAAAGTGGTTCTGCAATTCAAGGGGAAACACCTCAGGCTCTCATATTGTGAATCACCTGGTTAGTAATCATCACTGTAATCTGTTGTTTTTTTTTCGTCTTCTGGAAATGTTGTAGTTTCTTGTGTTGTGGTTAAGGTTTGTGGTCATAGTTATCTGGTCTGGTTTGTTTACAAGCAATTGAACCTTTCTTAATGGATTTCCTTCTGTTGGTTATTTTTAAGGTTCGAGCAAAACACAAGGAAGTTTGTCTCCATAGAGACAGTCCGCTAGGGGAAACAATTCTCGAATGCTACAACTGTGGGTGTCGAAATGTCTTTCTTCTCGGTTTCATCTCAGCAAAGACAGACAGTGTTGTCGTCCTTCTCTGTAGAGATCCTTGTTTAAATGTAAATGCCTTGAAGGATATGAACTGGGACCTAAGTCAGTGGTGTCCCTTGATTGACGATAGATGTTTCCTCCCCTGGCTTGTTAAGGTTAGTTTCTATCCTTGTGTTTTTTTTTCTTAAGAAGACATAATCACGTGAGAGCTGTTATTAATTTTTCTTTTACAGGTCCCATCAGAGCAAGAACAGCTGAGGGCACGCCAAATTAGCGCACAGCAAATAAACAAGATAGAGGAATTATGGAAGACAAATCCGGATGCTACTCTTGAAGACCTTGAAAAACCTGGTGTAGATGATGAACCTCAGCCTGTTCAACCTAAGTATGAAGATGCATATCAGGTATTGATTTTCTCAGCCTTTTAGTTAATAAAAATAAGTAACTCTGCTCATATTACGAGAGAAACAGTAAATTCGTCATGCCAGTTTTGGAAGAGGTCACTGTTAGTATTATGCTTTTACACTTATCCTTTCTGGTGGTTTGCAGTATCAAAATGTGTTTGCACCTCTAATCAAACTTGAAGCAGACTATGACAAGGTGTGTATATAGTAGATTCATTTTATTTGGATTATTTTTCATGTCCCTTTTATATGTGTTCTGTTGGGGCTTATCATATTGAGTCTGCTGTAGATGATGAAAGAGTCTCAAAGCAAGGAAAATCTCACAGTTCGGTGGGATATTGGTCTTAACAAGAAGCGCGTTGCATACTTCGTCTTCCCAAAGGTGGTTGAAACCTAGTGGTCGCTATTAAGACTTGTTAGAACATTGCCTTATTTAAACTTTTGATGCAGGAGGAAAATGAATTGCGATTGGTGCCGGGTGATGAACTACGTCTGCGTTACTCGGGAGATGCTGCTCATCCAGCCTGGCAGTCAGTTGGACATGTGGTATACCTCCTTGGTTTTGTTATCTTTACATGATCTCTGTTCTGTTAGTAGGGTGGATCCTGTAATTGAAAGTGTTTAGGTCCTTACCAGAATTTTTAAAATAATTCTCCAGATCAAGCTAACGGCACAAGAAGAGGTTGCTCTTGAACTCCGAGCTAACCAGGTGAGTTTAATTCCATTGTTAGCTTTCCTTTTAACCGACTTGCGGAGATATGTTCAACCTTACTTACTCGTGTGTAGGGAGTTCCGATTGACGTTAACCATGGATTCAGTGTTGATTTTGTTTGGAAAAGTACAAGCTTTGATCGAATGCAGGGAGCAATGAAGAATTTTGCTGTAGATGAAACAAGTGTGAGTGGGTAAGTCAGTCATCGGAAAGCCTAGTTCCTCATCTTGGCGCGTGTCCCTTTGCTACTGCGTGCTAATTAACCACTGAATTACTATGTTTCTATTTTGTGAAGTTATATCTACCATCAGTTATTGGGACATGAAGTTGAGGCCCAGATGGTTCGTAACACACTACCTCGACGTTTTGGGGTACCTGGTCTTCCAGAACTGAATGCATCTCAGGTAATCATTGGCGGTCAGCTTATGAAGTTCATGAAGAATGTTTGTTGTAACTGTCTTCATGGAATTTTCAGAATCGTTTTGATCCTGTGTGCCTTGTTAACACAATGTGTAATATCTGTTATCTATAAAACGGATTTATAGCAGGTTCTATTGTATCTTTGAGCAGGTTAATGCGGTGAAAAGTGTCCTTCAGAAGCCCATCAGCTTGATCCAAGGTCCTCCTGGCACAGGCAAAACTGTGACTTCTGCAGCAATTGTGTACCACATGGCAAAACAGGGCCAGGGACAGGTAAAGCTGATTGTTATTGATCCCCTAGAGATGCTTTTTGTGAGTTGACTACCAGATATTTATTATTATTGCCTGACAGGTTCTCGTTTGTGCCCCAAGTAATGTTGCTGTAGACCAACTAGCTGAAAAAATTAGTGCTACTGGGTTAAAGGTAAACTTTTAAACCTCCTAGTTCTATTAAAAATTTGCGTAAGACCTGGATACTCCAATTTATTGTTCATTTTTGAAAGTTTGCACCATCAAAATTTATTTAAAGAGTATATGACTTCTCTTAAAACTTTCTCCTACTCTGATGTCAGGTTGTTCGCCTTTGCGCAAAATCAAGGGAAGCTGTAAGTTCTCCTGTAGAGCATTTGACTCTTCACTACCAGGTTAGTTAACATGGTAGCACGCTTTAACTCTCTGATTCATTTTGTCCCCTATTTTTCTTTGATTGAAGATAATTCATGTGAATGGTTGCTGGCAGGTAAGACATCTTGACACATCTGAGAAGAGCGAACTGCATAAGCTGCAGCAGTTGAAAGATGAACAAGGTCTCACATTTCAGTTTGTTATTTATTGTTGACATTTTTAAATTTTCATTTACATTTCTATTGCCAGTTTCTTGTTATTGATCTGATGAAGTTTCTTGTTGTGCTTGCACCCTGTGACAATTTAAGTGACCATAGCTTTTACACTTTTTGCTTTTTATTGTCACTAGGTGAGCTGTCAAGCAGTGATGAAAAGAAATACAAAAATTTGAAAAGACAGACAGAACGCGAGATAACCCAGAGTGCTGATGTCATATGCTGCACATGTGTTGGTGCTGCCGATCTTCGGTTGTCAAACTTTAGATTTAGACAGGTTAACATTTACTTAGTTTTGAGCATCTCTAATTGTATGTAAGGCGGAAGCTGATATGCCCTTCCTCTCTGATAGGTACTTATTGATGAGTCTACTCAAGCAACAGAACCTGAGTGCCTTATCCCTTTGGTCCTTGGAGTAAAACAGGTATTAGGGTTCTCAGTGAACTGACTTCTTGTCGTTATTTTCTATTGATTGCTTATAGAAGATTTTTGCACTAGGTTGTTCTTGTTGGTGATCATTGTCAGCTTGGCCCCGTCATTATGTGCAAGAAAGCAGCTCGTGCTGGCTTGGCACAGTCTCTCTTTGAACGCCTTGTGCTTCTTGGTATTAAACCAATAAGATTGCAGGTACTACATTAATCACTCAGTGAATAAGGAAGATAATATCTTATATTTCCCTTTCACTGTGTGTAGGACTATCCACTCAATGTTTTCATATCATATTCTTGATTGCAGGTTCAATATCGTATGCATCCAGCTTTGTCCGAGTTTCCATCCAACAGCTTCTATGAAGGAACACTACAGAATGGAGTCACAATTATTGAAAGGCAAACAACAGGGATTGATTTCCCATGGCCTGTTCCTAACCGGCCCATGTTTTTCTATGTTCAGGTATCTTACTTCACATTGGCATTAGTTTAGAACAAACAATTATTGTTTATCAGATCCATTGGTCTGGCACCCACCGTCAGAAATCCATTTAAAGGAAGCCCAATCTTAGTTTTAATTTCTATTGTTTTTTTTTTAATTTGTAGCTGGGACAAGAGGAGATCAGTGCTAGTGGAACATCATATCTTAATAGAACTGAGGCTGCTAATGTGGAGAAACTTGTGACTGCTTTCTTAAAGAGTGGAGTTGTCCCTAGTCAGGTGAGAGTATTGAGATTCTTAACTAATAGCTATTTTACATTATTATGGTATCTGTTGACGTTATCAAACTATGCTCATGGTTATCAGATTGGAGTTATAACTCCATATGAGGGTCAGAGGGCTTACATTGTTAATTACATGGCAAGAAATGGTTCTCTCCGACAGCAACTTTACAAGGAAATTGAGGTAGTACTTTCAAGGTCTGTTTTAAAAGGTTTACTTGATCCTGTCATTTATTTAACAAGCTCTCGAATCTACAGGTTGCCAGTGTTGATTCTTTTCAAGGAAGGGAAAAAGATTACATCATATTGTCCTGTGTGAGAAGTAATGAGCATCAGGTATGTTTGGTGCTCTTTCTTCTATAAAACTCTACAGTTCGTACCCTTTTAATGATTTTCATTGTCAATGTGGTGCTTTTTCTTCGGAGAAACATTGTTGGAATTGACATGTAAACCACTGGTTATTTGGTTTTCAGGGCATTGGATTCCTTAATGATCCACGGAGGCTCAATGTTGCACTTACGCGTGCTCGTTATGGAATTGTTATTCTTGGAAACCCAAAAGTTCTTAGTAAACAGCCTCTGTGGAATGGATTGTTGACACATTACAAGGTATATAGTGGGAATGAGTTCTTTTACTGGGAATGAGTTATTTTTCTTGTGAAGTTTTGGGATGTTATCCTTTGAGTCCAGAACTGATTGAGTAATATGAATGATTGTATGATACCAAATTTTGTTTTCCTTTAATTGACAGGAACATGAGTGCTTGGTCGAGGGACCTCTTAATAATCTAAAGCAGAGCATGGTACAGTTTCAGAAACCAAGAAAGGTACCAAATGAACCTCTATGTCTGTCAATGTAGCTTACAGTGACAGGGAATATGAACATTAATCCTCTTCCGTATTTGTTAGATTTACAATGATCGGAGACTATTTTATGGTGGTGGCGCTGGCATGATTGGAAATGATAATTTTGGTTCGGGTAACCCTAATGCTGACAGAAGAGGCAGTCGAGGAAGGGGTAAATGTCCAGTACCCTTTTTGTGTCTTGTGTGGTTTAAATGTGCTTTAGCCATTCATGTTTAAACAGTTTCTTCTATTGATTCAGCTGGTGGTTCCTATCTTCCTTCTGGCCCACCTAATGGTGCTAGACCTGGACTACACCCAGCGGGCTACCCGATACCTAGGGTTCCACTTTCACCCTTTCCTGGTGGTCCTCCTTCTCAGCCATACGCTATTCCAACTCGTGGACCTGTTGGTGCTGTTCCTCATGCTCCCCAACCTGGAAACCATGGTTTTGGAGCTGGTCGTGGAACTTCCGTTGGGGGCCACCTTCCACACCAACAAGCCACCCAACATAATGTTGGAACTATTGGACCAAGTTTAAACTTTCCCCTTGATAGTCCGAATAGCCAGCCTTCACCTGGTGGTCCGCTATCCCAACCTGGATATGTAAATACTACCCGCATCTCTTTCAAATTTTTATCTTACCATCTAATTTTTGAAGCATTAGAGCTTGCTTATTTTGTTTTATTCCGGATCATGACGTGATAGTTGCCTTTTCAGGGTAGCCAAGCGTTCAGGGATGGATTTTCTATGGGTGGCATATCTCAGGTTGTCTTCTTGTTTAATGTTACTTGGTGATTCGGATGCAGTACCTTTTTTCCTGTAATTTAATCTCCTATTGCCACTATCATCAGGATTTCTTGGGTGATGATTTCAAGAGCCAGGGATCTCATGTTCCTTACAACATGGCCGACTTTTCTACACAGGTGTAGTTTCTCTTCTTAGCCATTTGAAATGTCATACTTTGGATAGGATGATAGGATAAGCATATTTTATAAACTCCAAACCTCTATTACATTCATATAGGAGGTTGGGAAAAACCTTTAACTGTTTTCTTCAAAATTGATACTTTTTAGTGTTTCACATAGCACTACCTTCTACCTTTTTTGACGATGGCTGTATTTCAAAAGTTTTGGACCATTATGTTGTTGGTAGGCCTCACAGGGTGGATATGCTGTTGATTATGCCACACAAGGAGCACATGGGGCGTTTCCTGGAAACTTTATGAATCAGAATTCTCAAGGCGGTTATTCTCGTTTCAGCGGAAATAATGATTTCATGTCTCAGGTTTGTTTCACTGGACTTACCTTTCCTATTAACACAGTTTGTATTCTTACACCTTCATCTGAGCCCTTTTTTTTGCATATGCAGGAGTATATGGCACATGGAGGTCAAGGTCTTTTCACCCAAGCCGGCTTTATCGACTCATCCCAGGATGATGGACAGAATCCTTATGGTGTGAACAATCCTAATCTTCAGTCTCAGGTTTGTCCTTCTGATGTGAACAATCATAATCCTCGATTCTTTATTTGCGTTGACATATACAATTAACATACAATTGAGGATTTACAAGTATTCACTATCTTTTATCTATATGTACACATGTTTCTGGTCAAAAGATGCTAACGACTCTTGTGTAAAACTCGGCTCAGGGTCTCCCGAATTCACTCTACTCTCAGCCATTCTCACACTACAACACGCAGCCACTAAACCTTTCAGGACCACAGCAATCTCAACCTAACCAGAGCTCACAAAACCCAAAACATCCTTACAATGGCTGAGGGTGAGAAAGACAAAACTTGGATGCAACGGGTTTATAAACTCTTTTGCAAATTCACCGGCTTGGTTCCATGATATCACGGCTCCAAACAAACATCTGGTGACTTCCGGGTGCTTGCAAGATACACGCCTTTCTGGCTCGCTTAACGCAGCAAACAGGTAACTGGTTATGCAGAGAAACAGGTACCTAAGTAGTAGCCTGGGGAAAAAAGTCTTCGGTCCGTAAATCCTTTGGGCTTATATGTTTTTTGTTTTTGCCGTGTATTATTATTTATATACTCTCATATGCTCTATTATTGTAGTCAGATATCTGAAGCCTACCCATAGTTAAAATTGGTGGAGGTGTTTGATGATGAATATTGATATGATTTACAAGTTCTTGCTTTATTTGGTTTTTGATTTTTTTCACGGTCTGTTTGTCTGAAATCATGATTTTTGTGCAAGTTTTGGTATCAGTATTTTGTGGCTTATGGGCTTTGTCCAATCTGGAATTTGGTTTGGATTTCTAAGTTCAGATAACACTGATTCAATTTGATTTTTTTGTTCTCAAATATCTCTGATTTTAAGGATTTTCTTAGAAAGGCATTTTAATGTTTTTATTTCCTAGATTTAGCCGACATGGTCTTTTTGTCCCTTTGATTCGTTTTTGGTTTGATTTTGAGTAAGATATACATGGATTGGCAGCATTGGCTAATGATCACGAAAATGTTAAATTTTGTTTGGACAGTAGTATAATTTTATAAATTTTCGTGTCTTAGATGGGTTTCTTCGTGACTTTTGAACACATGTCATATCCATATGCGACGGTGTTGAATGACTCTTAGCTGGGTCCACATCGGGCCCACAAGCCCAAAAATCTTTTTCGAAACGACACGAAACGCTCTAAGTGTTTCTGGTGTGACCTCAAACAGACAAAGAAACGCTCATAGTGTTTGGCTACGTCCTCTCGAGGTTTTTGCCTTGGCTTCAAATTCAAATACAAAAAATGAAAGAGACTCTCTCACGGACTAGAATGTATTATATATTTAAGTGGAAGATAAAATATCACGAAATGTGAGATGCCGTGAACTTTATACCTGCTTACTAGATTTATGATCTTGTTGGCCCTTCGAAATCAATATCTTAAATTTTCCCTAGATATTGGCTTTTGTCACGCCTTAAATTTCTTCTTTTTGAAACTACTGTAACATGCCAAAAAGGGAAAACAAAATAAAAATATCTACCTAACATTTTTCAAATTTGTTAAACATTTATTATGTCATCTAATCCATAGATATGAAAGATTTCAATTTTATTTTCTTACTTTTCTTATCTAATATTTATTTGGTATATGGATTGACATGAATCGATAGAGTAAGGCGTCTATTATATTTTAAACTATATTAGATATTTTTCCTTTAATTTTCTGTCAACAACTAAATTTAGATATAAAAAAAAAAAAAAAAAAAAAAAAAAAAAAAACTAAATTTAGATATTTTTTTTGAGCAATCTATTAATTTTGGTTTTCCTACTAATATCTTTGACCAGCCTCAAATATTTAAGTCTGGATATAGTACGGACAAAAGAAAAATGGTAACGGTTGCATCACACCTGCAAAACTCAGAATGGCAGTCTCGTAACTTATGGGAAAAAAACAAAGGGCACTGTAGTGAAGCAAGTCATTAAAAATAATAATTTTATCCTATGAAAGCAAAAACAATATTTTTCCAACTGAAATTTGTGATTTCCTTTACATAGTTGATAGACAAAAATCAAACTTAATTAATGTGAAATCAAATTACATAAGCGTTTTTTCCTAATATAAAATACTAATAAAGCAAAGATTTGAAAATAAAAATAAATCGTATTTAATTTTGATGCAGAGGACAGCTGTACATTTGATTTAAGCGTAGCTTCAACTCCATAACAGTCCTCTCTCTCTCTCTTTCTCTTTTTCTGAAGAAAGTAAAAAAAAAAAAAAAGGGAAAGCGAAGTAAAACAGAAAAAAGACCATCTCTGACTCGTTACTCCTGAAGATCCCAAACAAAAAAGCTTCTTAGTGAAAATTTCTTCCTTCGTTTTCTCGATTTCTCAATCAGGTTTACCATTTTTCTCGCACTCTCTTCTCTTCTCTGCGCTTTCTTCGTTTGTGACGAAACACTCCTCTCGCTGTGACATTGTTTTTTCCGCTTTTTTAGGTTTTTTTGAAAATTTTCTTATGCGATTATTTGTTTTGCTTTCTTTGTTGTTGTTGCAGAAGAAGAAGAAGTTTCAGATTTTGTGAATTCAGATTAGTTTCGTTCTTTGTGGAATCGTAACGGAATTTTACTTAAGCGAGTGAGAATTGCGAGTTTTTTCTTAGATGTCGTCAGTTTTGTTTTGGTTCTCTGGGATAGTCTGTGACTGATTTTTGACTTTATTGGTGATGCTTGGACTTGTGTTCTTGTGTGTTCTTTTGGTGTCCACGCCATGTTTTAGCTTATCACAGTATGGGGGCTCTGAATTTGAGAGCTCTGTGAGATTGTTTTCGGATGAAGATTCTGGGAATTCTACTAGTTCTCCGATTTCTGTGACTTGCCAAGACTTGGATGGTGTTGGATCTTTGAATACCACTTGTACATTGAACTCGGATTTGCGGTTCGATTCTGATGTTTATGTATATGGAACGGGTAATCTGAACATACTTGCCCATGTTTTAGTCAATTGCCCTATCGAAGGATGTATGATCATTTTCAATGTATCTGGAACTATTCATTTGGGTCAATCAGCAAGAATCGTTGCTGGTTCTGTGGTTTTTTCTGCTATCAATTTAACAATGGATAGCAATTCGTCTATCTACACGACAGCATTGGCTGGACCACCACCTTCTCAGACTAGTGGAACACCATATGGTAGTGATGGTGCGGGGGGAGGCCATGGTGGGAGAGGTGCTTCCTGTGTGAAGAGTAATAAGACGACCTATTGGGGTGGTGATGTTTATGCTTGGTCGTCTTTGCATGACCCGTGGAGCTATGGGAGCGAGGGAGGGGTTAAGTTATCCACAAAGAATATCAGAGGCAAAGGTGGAGGTCGTGTCAGACTCCTATTGAAGGACACGGTACATGTGAATGGAACTGTTTACGCAGATGGTGGTGATGCTGGAGAGGAAGGGGGTGGAGGATCTGGAGGAAGTATCTGTATTCGTGCGGTAAAGCTGTAAGTCCATGCTTCCATTTGAGTCCTATCTCAGTCATTATACAAATAATTGGAAGTTGATCGTACTATCTGTTTGGAGCTGCAATCTGACTGTAACAAATTCGTGGGTGTACTTTGAAATTAATTTTACTATGTATTTGTCGTGGGAATGTGTTAAATCAAGGCGTTACATGTTAACTTGTTAGTTTTGTTTCACTTCAATCTGTCTCACATATCATTTGAATATGTAGGAAGGGTTATGGTAAAATATCTGCATCGGGTGGGAGGGGATGGGGTGGAGGTGGCGGAGGAAGGATCTCCCTTGACTGTTACAGCATACAAGAAGATGTCAAAGTTTTTGTGCATGGTTTGTATTTCTTTTGCTTCCTATCAGCGCTCATGCAAGTGACTTAGTTCTTCTACAAGCTGTTTTTATCGTCCACATAAATATCAGTAGTTGTGATTTCAAGTAGTTTTAAAACCCTTCTGAATTATTGTTTCCCTATATGGAAAACTTGATGTCCTTTTTCTTGTTTCCTGTGGATTTACTTCTCCATTTTATGCTGTGTGTTGAATATTTCAGCAGTTCATCCTTACTAAATTATCTAGTTCTATTGTCTTAACTGCAGGTGGCGCAAGTGTCGGGTGTCCCAAAAATGCTGGAGCAGCTGGAACATACTTTAATGCTGAATTAGTGAGTTTAAGGGTTGGAAATGATAACATGACTACAGAGACAGAAACTCCTTTGCTCGATTTTCCTACAAGGCCTCTGTGGTCAAACATCTATGTAGATAATAATGCAAAAGTTTTGGTCCCGCTGCTGTGGACCAGAATGCAGGTCAGTAAATTTCCTGAATGTCTTATTTTTTCTTTTTTCTTTTGATAGTCTTGAATCGTATTCTCTACCCTGATTCTTTTGTGTTCCGTGCAAACCTTTATAAGGTATTTACTATAATATGATTGGCTTTCTATATTTTTATTTTTCTTTTTAAGAGTTGACCTTGCAAATTTCAGTACTTTTTTCTGATCAAACGAGCTTTTATGAGCTTAATAGAAGCTCCTAGGTCTCTCTTTTTTTCGAATACTTTGTATGTTGGCACTACCCCCTAATGTTGTTACTTGTTATTTATTTTTCTGATTCTGAAGGTCAGAGGTCAAATCAGTCTTTATCGGGGAAGCAGCATTGTTTTTGGGTTATCAAAATATCCAATTTCAGAATTTGAGCTTGTCGCTGAAGAACTTTTAATGAGTAACTCCGTTATAAAGGCAGGTTATTGTTCCTAACCATTCAGTAAGAATCTTGTTTCTTTTTTACCGTCCTGCTTTTCCTGTATGTTATGTTAAGTTATATTGTTCTTAAATGAAGGTTTTTGGTGCGTTACGACTTGTTACGAAGATGCTGCTCATGTTGAATTCTGTGATTCAAATTGATGGTGAAGGAAACCCTGCGGTGCCTTCCTCTGTCCTCGAAGTTCGCAACCTTGCAGTTCTAAGGGTATACTTGAAATTTTTATCATGTCTCTTTTTCTTAATTGGTTGGATTGGAAGACAGATTTTGACTTTTTCTTCTTGTAGGGAAAATCCGTCATTACTTCTAATGCAAACTTGGGTGTATATGGTCAAGGAATGTTGACGCTCTCCGGTCCTGGGGATGCAATTAAAGGCCAGAGACTTTCCTTATCTCAATTTTACAACATAACTGTAAGAAATTTTTGTCTTAAAATGTTTAAACTTCCAACTTCTGATGACTTGTATACCTCTATTTTATTATGAGATCATGTTTCTGTCTGTTTGTTACGAACATTTACTTAGACATAGTCATCGGTGGAGTATGCAAAACTCTTTTTTAACAGTTCATAAATTTTGCAGGTTGGGCCAGGTTCTTTACTTCAAGCACCACTTGATGATTACGAAAGCAAAAACGCGTGAGTAATACTTACTATACGTTTACATAATTTCTTTTTGTGAGGGCGAGTAGTACTAGACTTAATAATTAAAAACGCTTGTGCTAGAAAATCTCTTTCTTTTTGACAGGGTTACTCAGACCCTTTGTGAGAGCAAAACATGCCCAATAGACTTGATCAGTCCGCCGGATGATTGTCATGTCAATTATACACTATCCTTTTCCCTTCAGGTATGTTTGATAAAGAAGTATCTTGCTGGTTCAAAATTATCTTTCTGGAACGAGTTAAGTTTTGTAATGTATAGACTTTGTACTACGGATTAGGTAGTTACACATAATAAATACCTAGGCTGATTGAAACTGTTTGCTAATATAGGCCAAACAACTGTGAGTCCCAATATCCTGTTACACCTATAGTTATGTGTAGTATCCCTTCCTGTGTTACCTCCTGGAGTAATCAGACTTGAATGCTACCTAATAATGATTTTCTCTTACCTTTAGCGTCGAACTTTTCATAATTCTTCAACTTTATAATTTTCTAGATATGTCGAGTTGAAGACATTCTTGTGATTGGACTTGTGAAAGGAAGCATAATTCAAATCCACAGGGCGAGAACAGTAGTGGTTACTGATGATGGCTTGATTACTGCAACTGGATTTGGTACATAAACTATGAAAACTCACCTTTCTATTTTCTTTTCAGCATATTCCTATAGCTGTTTCTGTTTGCCTTTTCACTATAGTGGGATTCTGGCTAAGTCATAAATTTTCAAGACCAATTTATGTATTCAAGAAGATTAATGTGGTTTCTGATTCTATACATAAATTCCTATGGCAGGTTGCAGTGGTGGCTTGGGGAAGGGGCTTTATTCAAATGGAGCTGGTAGTGGTGCTGGGCATGGAGGAAGAGGGGGATCAGGCATTTTCAATGGGAGAGTATGCAACGGAGGTCATACCTATGGTGATCCTGATTTTCCCTGTGAGCTAGGAAGCGGAGCAGAAAGTCCAGATAAATCATATGGGAATGTGACTGGTGGAGGGATGATAGGTCAGTATTATTGTATTTCACTTTTCTGCTTATTTATTATTTATTATTCTAAGAAAAGGGGGTGGCCAATACTCTTTGAAATAGCTGTTTAATCATCTGGCATTGTCAAGTGACATTTACAAATTTGTTTTCCACCTTTTCAGTAATTGGCTCCATCCAGTTTCCTCTTTTGACACTTAATCTGTGTGGATCTCTGAGCTCTGATGGCCAAAGCCTTTGGAAGCCAACAGCGAATGGTAACAGATCTTTGGTCGGCGGAGTTGGTGGGGGATCTGGTGGGACGATTCTTCTTTTCCTTCAGATGCTTGAGCTCTCAAAGAATTCATCTCTATCAGTTCGAGGGGGCCGGGGTGGCCCTCTTGGGGGTGGTGGGGGTGGAGGGGGAAGACTTCACTTTCACTGGGACATGTTACACACTGGGGACGAGTATTCTCCTGTTGCAGTTGTCAAGGGGTCCATTAGTAATAGGTATGCACCATTACCATGACAAGTGTAGCAATCTCTCTTGCGTGCTAGCTACCTTTTGGGCCATTTGTAATACTGGGGTAAAATATGCATATACGTTGATTTAGTACTATGCAGGGCCATGGATATGAGAGGAAAATGGTATCTTAGTGTTTGATGGTTTAGACTCTGCCTGTACTATTTTCGTTATGAAAATTTCGGAACATTTGGAACACTGTGGAGTCTGACAGAAATGTTTTTAGTCTGCAAAACACGTCTTCATGAAAATTGAACACAGACCTTGAATTGGTTTCTTTCTGATGTCTTCAGAGGAGGTGCAGGGGACAATGGCGGTCGATTCGGGGAAGAGGGAACAATGACTGGGAAAAAGTGTCCGAAGGGACTCTATGGTACATTTTGCTTGGTAAGTCTTATGGTTTATTATGTTGTAGTTACTTCGACTCTGGCCATTTATGGCTTAGCCTTGCGCCAATTCTGCTTATCTCTTATTCTAGCAAATAAATGGGCGTAACAAACCACAAAATTAGACAGTCCCAGTAGTGTTCTTTTAGCATAATTGCAAATCTCTGTCTTGTTTGTTTGTGCTTGATACTTCTCGATATTTCTGGATTCATGTATTCTTCAAGGAATGCCCCATTGGCACTTACAAGAATGTTGAAGGCTCTGACAAACGTCTTTGTACTCCCTGCCCGCCTGACCATCTTCCAAGTCGTGCAAAATTTGTATACGTACGAGGTAGTTTATCTAATAGTTCTCTTACTCTTCCATTCCCTGATCTTTTGTTTCTTCTTAATTGGTATGTCTTCTGACGGAAGGTGCTTTGAATCTGCAGGAGGAGTTAGTGAACCTGTTTGTCCCTATAAATGTGTATCTGACAAATACAGATTGCCAAACTGCTATACACCTCTGGAAGAGCTTGTCTATACATTTGGAGGGCCATTGCCCTTTACCCTTCTTCTATCTTGTGTGGTGGTAGTTTTGGGTCTGTTGCTAAGCACATTAAGTATCAAATTGCTCAGATTGAGTTTCTATGGTGCCAATTCCATCGAACACCAGAGTGCTCATTGTTTACCCCATCTTCTGTCACTCTCTGAGGTATCGTGTTGCGAAAATCGTCTTCTTTCAAGTCTTATATTTTCTCTGTAAGACATATGGATCCAGTATCTGTCGACCAAACACATGCCTGTTTCTTGTCATTCCAGGTTCGAGGCGCAAAATCTGAGGATACGCAAACCCATGCTTACCGTATGTACTTCATGGGTCCAAACACTTTCAGGGAACCTTGGCATCTGCCCTATTCTCCTCCTGATGCAATCATAGAGATAGTGTAAGGATATAACTTGACTGGGTTGAATACTGTTGTCATTATTGTTGTTAAATGTTTGAATGAAGTGGTTGAACTCTAACTACTGGCAAGAATAAAAGAGAATCTATATTGTGACTATGTATGTCATTAATCCCGAGTCCCGCTTTCTTTAATTCTACTCTTTGCTTATCAATGTGACATTGGCCTTTGGCTCACTTTATTCCAAGGTATGTTCACTCATAGTTCTGTACATATCTGATTCGCAGGTACGAAGATGCTTTTAACAGATTTATTGATGAAATAAACTCTACCGCAGCATATGATTGGTGGGAAGGGTCTGTGCACAGCATTCTATCAGTTCTAGCAAATCCTTGTGCCTGGTCGTGGAAACAATGGCGTCGCAGGAGAAAAATTCACCGCCTTCAAGAATATGTCAAATCTCAATATGACCACTCTTGCCTCCGCTCATGCAGATCTAGAGCTCTCTACAAAGGGATGAAGGTTTAGATTCTTATTAACTAATATTATCCTTAATTCTTCATAGTCATGTAGCTTTAACTTCTCATTTTGACTGTCTGTGTCCAACGTCGAAGCAGGTTGGAGCCACTCCGGATCTGATGGTTGCATACATAGATTTCTTTCTTGGCGGTGACGAGAAGCGTGTAGATATGGTCTCCATTATACAGAAAAGATTCCCAATGTGCATACTTTTTGGTGGACATGGAAGTTATATGTCACCTTATAGTCTCCATAGTGATACACTGTTAACAAATCTTCTTGGCCAGGTTAGCTTTCTTTGTCTGTGTTTTGTTTTTCCAAAATCTCCACTCTGAAAATCTCCTAAAGGCTCCAAATGACTATTCCAGCACATCCCACCAAGTGTTTGGCACCGGTTTGTTGCTGGTTTAAATGCTCAGCTTAGGACTGTGAGGCACGGATCAATTCGTTCAGCATTACTCCCTGTCATTAGGTGGATAAACAGCCATGGAAATCCTCAGCTAGAATTCCATGGAGTAAGAATTGAACTTGGATGGTTTCAAGCTACAGCTTCTGGATATTACCAACTTGGTATCTTGGTTTTTGTTGGCGATTTTCCTCTGAACACTGTAAACCGATCACTTTCGTTCAGCAGAAGTGACGACGAGTCACCTCGGTGAGCCATGATAGATTGTGCTTCTCTTTGATCTAACGTAGCTAATGTCTCTTGTCTTAGACTTAAAGACACTCATCCTGCTTAATCATAACTCCATTTTCTAGGAACAGCTCTGCATGTCCCAGCAAATCTCTTATCGAGTTGCAGCAAAACTTGATCCAACCAGGACATGGATTATCTAGGAAGAGGATCAATGGTGGAATCAATGGAGGCCTCATCAATGAGATTTCACTAGAATCTTTGGAGTACCGAAGGGATTTACTTTTTCCATTTTCTCTCTTATTGAACAACACTCGACCTGTTGGGCGTCAGGTTACATTTTCATCTCTCCTCAATAACTCGTCTTATGATCTGTTTTTACTTTCTTGTTAACATAAGTAAAAAAAAATCTTGTGGTTTATGCAGGATACACTTCTCCGTTTGATCTCCATCCTTCTCCTTGCTGATCTTTCAGTTACGCTACTTGCATTACTTCAGTTCTATTGGCTTGCCATTGCAGCCTTTCTCGCTATCCTCCTGATTCTCCCTCTCTCCCTGCTTTGCCCATTCCCTGCCGGCCTTAACGCTTTATTAAGTAAAGAAATGAGAAGAGCCTCACTTACTCGTATCTACGGCCTTTGGAATGCTACATCTCTAACAAACGTCGTAAGTCAATACAAACAGAATTCAAAACTAGTGACCTTTTTTTGACTATTGTTTCTTATTCGCAAGTATTCTGCAGATTGTGGCTTTCATTTGCGGTGTCATTCATTCCGGGTTTTTCTCTGACGAGCTACCAAACATCTGGAACGCCATCAGGTAACAAATAGTGTTTCTGTCCTCTCTTAAACATTCAAAAGTATCGTAAATTTGCGCCATCCATACTATAATCAGTCTTAACCTTAAACCCTCACACTTTGTTGGAACTAGAAAGACACATTTAGAGATCTTCGCTGTTAGATGATTATAGAACATCAAAAGTCTTCGTTATTCATTACCCGTATATTGAGTTAAAAATTTGTGAGTAAATGATCTTAAAATTGGTAATGGTTTGGCAGGGATGATGATAGATGGTGGGTGTTACCAACAATCCTCTTGTTACTCAAGTCAATACAAGCTCGGTTCCTTGATTGGCATGTCGCAAATCTAGAAGTACCAGACTTTTCTCTTCTTTGTCCAGATCCAGATACCTTCTGGGCATATGAATCTGGAGCTTGACCATCAACATAATTATAAAGAAAGACAAGCCAAAGGTATATCATATTTTTCATGTAAATCTCTTAAAAAGTACAAATTAAGTTCTTCTCAGTGATAGTTGTTAAAACAGTTCTCTAGAACATCTGGTTATATTTCTGGTGCCGAATTAGGGTTTTGCCAGATCAATGGTAGTTGTAGAAACTAGAGCGAGAGTTATGTATTGCTTAAAGTTTTCCAACAACATACAAATTTAGAACACAATGGAGACTAATCCTAAAACCTAACCCAAATTTTAATTTAATTAAATTTATTTCCTATTGTATTATTATACATCAAAAATCAAAAGCTGAAATATATTAAAAAGAATGAAATTACATACGTCAACATTTTCTATTGATGGTTACTATTTTCTTTGAACCGAACAATTAGAAAGTTGAGACTAAAAACTAAATCTTAATCCAACAAGGCAACAAATGTGATCAAGAGAATTCAAGATGGTTCGTATGTCTATTACATGCTTGCGTGACGGCGATATAGATATAATAAGATGGGCTACAAATGGGCTTTAAGTTTAGGCCTTACCCAGCTTATATGGGCCCAAACTAGAAATAGGAAAACTCACCTCACTCGCCAGCAATGCGCGTGAACTTCAGAGTCTGAGAAACACTTGAGCTACAACATTTTTAAGAGTAATCGGATTCTCTCTCTCTCATCTGCGACGTATAATTTCCCAATTTCTCAGAGACGAAAATCACCACCAAATCGCCGCCATGTTGAAACAAGCTTCTCGTCTCCTCTCCCGATCTGTCGCCGCCGCATCTTACAAATCGGCGACAACTCGTGCCTTTTCAACGGAACTTCCATCGACGATCGATTCCACTTTCGTCGAGGCATGGAAGAAAGTCGCACCGAATATGGACCCACCGCAGACTCCTTCTTCTTTCATGAAACCTCGTCCTTCGACTCCTTCTTCTATCCCGACGAAGCTCACCGTCAATTTTGTCCTCCCCTACACATCTGAGCTTACCGGGAAAGAGGTTTGGTTTTCCATCTTCTTCGATCTTCTGGTCCCATTTTGTTTTTCTTAGGGTTTGATCTGTTATTTTTTACATTGTGCTTTTTGTGTGGATACGTTTGCTTATTGGATTGTGTGTGGAAATTTGGTTTGTGATTGATCTGTGGATTTGTGAAAAATCTGGAACAGCATTTCGAATTTGCTACGGTGGTTTGTGATTCATCTCAATTCTCAAGTTATGCAAATGTGCTTAATTAGGTCTTATGACCTTTGATTTTGGTTAGATCTGACGGCGCTACGTTTTAGGGTTTTGATGGCGGTACCTGAGTCTAGCAATTGTTGATTTTTGCGTTACAATGACAATAATTGTATTAGTCTCAGGATTCCTCTAAAAAAAATTGCAGTGAAACTTGTAAATACACGATCATCTTAGAATTCACAGGTTAACTATGTGTTCAGTATCTGAAAATGTTGCTTGTTGCGACACATTACTGCTTTTATATTCTCTGTTGATCAATCATTGAAATGGGATATTTGAATTGCGACTCTTAAAAGAGGTCTGTTATTGAAATTCTATTCATAGAATTGATCCTAATTTAGTGTTCGTCTGACTATTTTTTGGTTTCTGTCACAATGGTATTATTAACATGTAATGTGTGTATCATATATGATCTATTCTCCTCTATTGATATATGATGTGGTATATGCTTAGACTGAATGTCGATCATAACGTCCTAATTTTTATGAGTTAATCTCCATAGCCAGTAGTCATATATATTCATTGTTATATTATATAGTATTTAGATTCTCGTAGTACATATGAAGATCAGTAGGCGTAGATGGTGCATTCGCTGTAGGTATCTCTTTGCAACAATAGCTTAAATCTTGCCAGACTTATTTCCTGATGCATTTTCCAACCATCTTGTCGCTGCGCTATCATCTTCACATTCTATTCGTACAAATTTAAAACTAACCCCTGATCCTATAGTTTCATTTCTTATATCTTTAATAATAAATCAAAGCTGATTGGTTTCTCTTCATATACTTGAAGGTCGACATGGTCATCATTCCTGCATCAACAGGACAAATGGGTGTCTTGCCCGGACACGTTCCAACAATTGCTGAGCTCAAACCAGGTATCATGTCCGTCCATGAAGGCACTGACGTGAAGAAATACTTCCTGAGCAGTGGTTTCGCATTCCTCCACGCAAATTCCGTCGCCGACATAATCGCGGTTGAAGCTGTACCACTTGACCACATTGACCCTAGCCAAGTCCAAAAGGGTTTGGCTGAGTTCCAACAGAAACTTGCTTCTGCCACAACAGATCTTGAGAAAGCAGAGGCACAGATTGGTGTTGAGGTTCACAGTGCCATCAACGCAGCTCTCTCGGGCTAAAAGAAGGTTTCTCTCTTTCTTTATTTCTTCGAAGAGAAAAAAAACTAAATCATTTGGCTTTTCAAGTGATTAGTGAAGTCCCTTTTTACTACTACAAAGGATGGAATAAACTAGAAATTGATTTTTCTTGTTTAATTGTGTTGGACTTTTGTTTGAATAAATGATTTTGTTTAACGGGCACAAACCCAAAACGTTTCTTGTGTTCATATCTCTGCACCTTTGTTTTTGGGTATGACTTTGTTGTGCTGAGAAAACAAGTTGGAATTTATTTAAGCCCTAAAGTTTCGTTTCCTAATATTTTCTGTAACACCTGTTTTAACTTGTCTCAAATTAGAATGGTTCAATGACTAGAATTTGTTTTAGTGTTCTAAGCTTGATCGAGAGGTTGTCGGGAACCCAACATAATATATCTTGAGATGAGATGACAAAATTATGTTTTCCAGAGTGGTATTGAAACTCTCTGAAAAGCAATGGGAGCACGAAGGATCGAGAAAAGAGGAAGGAGACAATTGAACAATCTAAAGGCGATCTTCTTCCCAAAAGATGTTATTTAGGGTTTGTAAGTCGTTGAGATGGTCAATTCGAAGAAATTAATTCCATATATGAATATATATTTAGATTTTACGGAATCAAATTTTCAATAACTCATATCATGATTAATAAATCAAATTTCGGAGGGTAGTAAGTTTGTGAGGAGATGAGTAAATTAAATTAGATGATAAATTTAAGCCCATTACATACACAAACATACAATATAGGAGAGGTGGGTGGGAGAAATTAAGAAAAAGAAAAAAAGATATGCAAAGATTCTGATTCCTTACCAAATGAACAAACATGGTCTGAGGCTGAGCCGACTCTGTTGTGGTCTTAAAGAGAGAAGAAGTATGGATATGTCATAATTTAGAGTAGTTGTTCCGCCATGGACAACCTCCTTCAAATGCATTTTCCAGAACGTCTTCCATTCTCTTTGCCAATATCACCTGTTTCCACCATTCATACCAAATTTAGAACTATTCAAAAACATTACTGACCAACCCCAAAGAAAACAAAAATTCAGAGTCAGGCCGGACTCAGCCCATGATTCTTTTCTAGTGTTTGGTGGGGTTACCCGCGGACTAATCCGCAAGAGGTAACCACTCCAGGGTCAAATCAAAACGGGCCTCATATGGACTGAACTAGGCCGGAGTAGCATACCACAATACGGAGAACAATACTAAGGTTGAAGTTAACAACTTTACCTCCAGACTGGAAAGTACAGCGGCGGGTACTTCAACTAAGTCTTTCGAGTTCCTCTGCGGTAGAATCACTCTTTTTATACCGTACCGATGTGCAGCCAATATCTGTTCATCAATTTAACATAACCCTCTTAAAATATGTATTGAATAGGTACTCAATTTCGGTTTTTTTTTTACCACATGTGAAGCTCTGGGATGCTAGAACTAGACGCAGTGTACCTTATCTTTGATGCCACCAACAGGTAGAACGAGACCTCTGAGTGTCATCTCTCCGGTCATGGCTGTGTCTGCTCTAACTCGTTTCTGACTGAACAACGAAACTAGAGCTGTCACCAAAGTCACTCCCGCAGAAGGCCCGTCTTTCGGCACTGCACCAGCAGGAAAGTGAATGTGGATGTCTCGTCCATCAAGAACATTCATATCCCCTGCAAGTGCCAGCTTAAAATCCGACGCACGAGCTCTTACCTAAAAAAAATCAATAGATTATCAACTAAAAAGTTCGGAAGTAATTTACAGTGTGTAATGAGCAAGGTTTCAAATGAAGATGTTACCCATGTAAGAGCTAATTGAGCAGATTCTTTGATAACATCTCCGAGTTGGCCCGTCAAATGCATTTCGCCTTTGCCTACCATAGATGTAGCCTCCACGAACTGGACTTCTCCACCAAAAGTAGTCCAAACGAGACCTACAGAAACGCCAGCTGACGCCACTCGATCAGCGGCTTCACTGTCATCAAACCTTGGAGGCTGCATTGCACCCAAAAAAACAGTATGCAGTTTAGTTTCACAAATGTCACTTTTGTATCACAATATATAACAGCCATCAATGATTATATTCTGCTATAAAAACTATTTAGAAGTGAACACTGAACAGAGCAGGAGAGCTTTACCCCAAGGATTTTTTCAAGCATGGTCTCATCAACCACCAAAGCTGAGGGACTCTGGAAGGTGCCTCCAATCTCATGATCATTTACACCCATTGGAATAACTTCCATTTCCACTTCGCCTCCCTCGGCCATTCTACCATTAAGTAGAGGAGATGTAAGTTTCTGCACATCTTTGCTCAATGGAAGAGTTTGTTCATGCTCTGCAACCATCACAGCAGCTGCACGAGCTAAAGCAGCCAAGTTTCTCTCTAGACTACGAACACCGGCTTCCCTTGTGTACCTCTGAATTATATTCTTTACCATACCCTATGGCGAGTATACGAAGAAACTGCATAAGCGCACCACACGAGAGACAATTATTGGTAATACATCAAAAATTTCAAAAATAACAATCTACCTCTGGAATCTTGAGGAACTCAGAACTAAGCCCATGCTGATCTAGAACTCGAGGAATCAGATGGCGCATAGCTATCTTAAGTTTTTCCTCTTGCGTATAACCAGGCAACTCAATTAGCTCCATCCTGTCTAGAAGAGGAGGTGGAATAGGTTGAACTCTATTTGCAGTGGCAACAAAAACCACCTTTGATAAGTCATATGGAACATTCAGATAGCTATTTTTTCAGTTAAGGGTAACCGTCAATCCATAAAATAGAGTGGCTGACTAGATCAAGCATCATCTGTACATCTATGAACGAATATAGTTGTTGCCTAGGAGTATGTGAAAAGTACAATTTCAAGATTTAAAACTCATGCAAGAAACTTTCAGCAAGCCTAACGATGTTTGGACGTTGAATCTAATATTTATATTGAATGAGGAAACATGATAGGATACTGATCATTAAAAGATTTGTTCTGCTCTGGATCCAAAACCTCCAGCAGTGCAGAAGCTGGATCACCCCGAACATCCGAGCCTGTTTTGTCAATCTCATCCAACAGCATAACTGGATTGCAAACACCGACCCTCTAAAATCCAAAACATAAGAGTGAAACCTTAGTGATAAAGAAAATATCATTTAACAAACCATCCAAAATGATTGTAATCAGAAGGGACATTCACATATTAGAAGAGCATCTACTCAGCAGTTTTGTCAATGCCTGTTCAGAAAAGCTAAGTAGCAATCATTTTGATGATCTATAACACTTTATTTCACTTATACTTTTCAAGGACAGACAGACAAACTTATCTGCTACAGCTTAGTTCCTGTGGCTGTTCTAAAACAAATTCCTAAGTTTCTTTCAGATTTCTCATCAGTAAAAGTTAGTTATGTCTCCTTAGAAAACAAGAAACTCACCTTTAGCCCATCAATGAGGCGCCCTGGCATGCTTCCTATATAAGTCCTTCTGTGTCCTCTAATGTCAGCTTCATCTTTCACACCACCCAAAGATAAGCGAACAAATTTTCTACCTAATGCAGCTGCAATAGACGATGCCAAAGATGTCTTTCCCACACCTGGTGGACCAACGAAGCACAATACTGGGCCTCTCGCATCTGGTTTAAGCTGCAATGAATAAGTTTCAATCAAGATAAAATCAGAAAACCAGAAACTGAATATGGGTCACTGTAAAATATAATAAGACAAATAAAACAACCTTTCGAACAGCCAGATATTCAATGATCCGTTGCTTGACCTTGGCTAAACCATAGTGATCACTGTCAAGACGTTCTTTTGCTGCTTTTAGATCCAACTCATGTTCTTCGCTTGCCTTCTCCCAAGGAAGATCAGCCAACAGCTCCAGGTAAACTCGTGAACTGTTATAGCCAGGTTGCTGAGGTTGCATCTTTTTTAGTCGCCTGCATTAAGAAATGAAAAAGATAATCACTAATAAAGAAATTAACTCTTCAAGTTGGTCCAGTCACACACCATCAGCCATTGTGCTCTAACAAAGTATACCTCAATTCCCTTTGAGCATGCTTCCATATGTTTGACGGCATTCCCGCAGCTTGCATCTTTCTTTCAAGTGCAGCTACATCATCTTCATCATCATCGTTGTCACCAAGCTCCTCTTTAATAGCTCTCATCTGCAAAAACCAGTTTCATTGCTACACGTCATACCACTGCAGGACAATAACCTCTCAACTTGACAACCAGTGCCTGTAGAAACCAAACCTGCTGGCGCAAGAGATACTCCTTCTGTGACTTTGACAACTGGCCTTCCACCTTCTGAGTAATCTTCTCTGCCACGCGAATTGACTGCCACAAGTGAACACAACATGAGTTCATAATGCCTAGGGGAAAATTAAGGACAGATACAATAATATGAATATCAAGAGCTAACCTGCAAATGCCGATCAACTAGTTCAGTAGCCTTTGAAAGTCTTACTTTAAGGTCAACTGAATCCAGCATAGATAGTTGCTCTTCAAAACTCATCTCAAAGCTAGCAACAAATATGTCTGCTAGTTTATGGATAGGAACTGTCTCCAAAAGAACTTTTGTCCTTCCACCAGTTTTTTGTTTCTGACACAAGAATCAATGCATGTTTTATTGATTCAATCAAGAATGGTCCATATTCCATTAGATGAAGATTATATAATTGCTCCCATGGAAAGAAAAATTCCCAAAGAAGAATCCATTTCATAAAAACAGATACAACTTCAGTTGTCAAGTTTTTAATTTATCTTGGAATGGAAACTCTAATGTGGAAGCAAACAGGAAACTTGAAAAAGGTGTGACCAAAAACAGACAACCGTTTAGTTTCACTAAATTTACCTGCTCAAGCACAGAGACAAGCTCCATAGCTGTGGTTTTAAACTGGCGTGACAGTGCTACAAAATCTGGGTCTTGTTGCACTTGCTCCAACTCTGCAGATGGCCAGAAAGTAACCAGCTAAAGACATTAATGGACTAGGATGTCGCCTAATATATTAGAAAAATAAAAGGTCATGACCCAACCTGAAATAAGCCATCAAAGTTATCATTACCAAAAAAGCTCCAACTCAAAACTATTATCTTAAAGAATCTCTAACCACCAATAATTTTCACAAGCATAAACTTATCTATATATTAAGGATACACAGAGCTAACATATATTAAAATCTCGTTGACCTCAAAAGAG